GGGCGGACGGAGCCACGCAAACAGGCGGTGAGGCGCCAACTCCGGCTTTTTGCCGGGGCTTGAAAAGGCCAGGAAAGAACAGCATACGCCAAACACCAGCGGGAAATGACCAACAGGGCGGAGCTTTTCGGAGCTTGCAGTACCGAAATAGGCGACCAACAGCCGCAAAATCGACGGCAGCAAGTGCAAAGTCAACAGCACTACACGGGACACGCTCAAGCGAGGCAGAACGTTCCTGCAGCAACTGCGGCCAATCGCGGTGGACCGCAGAACAACCACCATCCTCACCAGGACGCTGCAAGTAGGACGACCATTCATCGGAGCTGCAAACAACAGCAGGTGCCGAAAACAAGCGCTTCTTGGGACCAAGCCGCTTGCCAGAAAGAAGCCTGGACAACTTCCAACACGTTGCAAAATCACGCGATTGCCATGCGAAGTGAAGCTCATGGACCCACAAGCCGCGAACACGATTGCGGTCTCGACGACAAAGACGCTTAACAACTTTGTCAGACTGGCGACAGGCAAACTGCAGTCTGGCCAACTTAGCCAAGCAAGCCATAGAACAAGACATGCGGCGGCCAGTGCAAGCCATCTGCTGCAAAGAAGGGCCATCAATCCATGGAGCCACCGATGGTAGCCAAGGGTACACATGATCACGCTTCTCAGCGCCAGAGCAACGAAATGCACGCAAGTCAAGGCGAGCTTGGATGCGACACTGTAATGCCTGCTGCGTGTCAGAGGGCTTTTGAAACTTGGTGAATTTGCGGGAGAAGAACCGCACAGCAACGTCACGCACACGACTATGCAATGCGTCATACAAGACATCAGGGTTATGGTCACAAGCCAGTTGCTCAGCATCCAAAGCTTGCAGCTGGGACTCAACCTCACCGATGAACTCAGATCTGCGCTCACCGTGAATGATGCAGCGGTTGAGGGCATCATGGTCCCACAGAACACGATCTGACTTAGCACGGCCAACAAAATGCAAGCCAAGAGGCAGACAAGCAACCACGGGCCTATGATCCCTTGGCGAGTTGGTGTTGATGAGTTGAAGTGCATCACCTGCGCGATACCACACTTCGCACTTCGAGACAGCAGCGCGCAACTCAACAGGGCAACAAATGTAATCAATGCGGCTGCTATAACCACCTGAGTTGTGGAAGAATGTGTGACCGGCATCGACAAAAGTGTTGACAGCGCTAAGATGGTGCAGCCGCAACATATTGGCAAGCAGCGTTCCATTGAAGTTTTCACGGTCAGGCTGGCACGGGCCCACATGCGCGTCAGCAGTACCCAAAAGGCCGGCAAGGGAGTCAGCATGCATACCAAGTTTGCCATTGGCGTCAAGCAAGAGAAGCGGGGTACACCGTGCTGGCAACAAGGACAACTTCTGGGACAACACATTCCAGAATGTGGTTGCACGAGCACGGTCTCTTTCGCATTGTGGCTCACATGGAGCATAGCCCACAACCACAGCGACGTCGATGCGGCCGGTTTTGAAACGCACCATGCCAAGGCGGCCACGCACTGAAGCAGGTGGAACCCAAACTTCACGAATGCTGGCAGCAGGAAGGCAACGTTTGCGAGCACAAATGGCAACACCAGTTGGTCGCCCAGCCTTGCCCGCTGCCCGACCCCAATGAAACACATGGAATCCATCCTGACTGGTCTGCTCAACTGGTAAGTCAGTGGTGCATTGTGTGCCTTGAAGACCCACAAGTAAGCAGCTCCGAAATTGTCCCAAGATGTCCCGAAAGCGCCCGCTCTGCCGACAAGACAAAGGATTGTAGCTGCAGACCCGACTGAAGCGGAAATGAGGGGCATCGCCCTGGCCGTAATTACGCGAGGAGGCGTCCGTGGCTCAGAACCTAAAGCAGTGAGGAGGGATGCACGGTGTCACTAGTCCTGAGCAAAAAGTGCTTTATTAAGAACCTTTAAGCAATGAGCCCTGAACCCTAAACCCTACTTCGTAGGTTGCTTGTTTGAGCCTTGAGCTCTTTTGGTTTAACCCCAACGCCCGACATTCAACCGTTCCTTTGCGGGGATCCCCAAGGTTTCGCTGGGCATTTTAGGGATTTGGGGTTTTAGGGTTTAGGGTTCCCTGAAAGAAAGGACGCTAGGGGTGCAGGGTTTTGGGCTTCGTGCTTCGGCTCTTTTTTTTGTGGGCCCTGGATTGGGTTTTTGTTTTTTTAGACTGGGGTTCCAGGGTTTGGGCCCCAGCTGCCAACTCCCGATACCCTAAACTCTCCAGGCGGATCTCTGATAAGATCGGACCTGCAGGGTTTGCGGGGTTCTCTTCCGGGTACTTGGAGGATCATGGGGCTTAGTAAGTAAGGTTACAAGTACCCTTATTGGAGTCATAAGTATAGTTACCTTATTTGTAACCCTAGTTTGTAAGTCCCATGATCCTCCAAGTGGGGGGAACTCGGCAAAAAGCAGCGCAGAAGGACTCTTGAAAGCACAGCTGGATTCCACGACTCACCGGATTGGGGTTCAGGGTCTAGAGTTTTCTTAGGGGTACTTAGAAATAAGTTTTAGTTTTTGGTTATCATAATCCCTAAGAAACAGCTAAAATTATTAGTTTTGCTAGGGTTCTAAGCTCAGTATAGTTTCGGGTTTGAAGTTTAGTTGAGTCCCATCAGTTAGAGTAATATAGAAAACTAGACATTAAACATTAGGGTGATGATGGAAGTGGTGGGGATGACAGTGGTGATGGCTGTGGGCGCATTTACGATAATGACGACGACGAGTGATTAACACACGTAGGATTCTGGGGATGTTGTGCTGCCCCCGTGCAGAGGACGAGTTATCGGCAAGCATTGAGGCTGCTGTATGGGAGTTTAGTAACCCAGGGACCCCAACATAGCAACAACCACTCTAAAATGTAGGATCCTTATCCTAAGCCTAAACCCTAAACCTAAACCCTAAACCCTTAAACCCAAAACCCTAACCCTAAGCCTTAATTTTACGGACCAGGCCCAAATCTTAGCTCTCCAAGGGTTTCTACTCCAGCCGTCCAGCCTAAACACAGGTGTATCGCGAGTGCTTCGAGGACCAGTTTTTGGACCACACGAAGAAGTTCTACCAGGACCTTTAAGGGCTCCTTTGAGGTTTAGGGTTTAGGGTTTAGGGTTTAGGGTTCAGGGTTCAGGGTTTAGGGTTTAGGGTTTAGGGTTTAGGATTTAGGGCTCCTTTGAGGTCGTTAGGGGCTTTACAAATGTTCTGCAAGGCTTCTTCAAGAAGATGTGAGGGTCAGGAAACCCGTCAACCCTAAGCCCCAAGCTTCTCGAAGTTGCTAGGATTTCAACGACTTTCTGTGGCACTCTTCTGTAGAGCGTCTTTCGACGTCGAGGTTGAAGGTTTTAGGCTTAGGTGTTCGAGTTCGGTTTCGGGGCTTGGCATTGAGGGTTTTGGGTTTGAAGCCAGTTGCAGAGAGAAGGGGTTTTGGGTTAAGCACGGCAAGGTCACCACACTTTAACCTGTTAGTTTTAGCTAGCCTTAACCCTAAACCCTAAACCCTAAACCCTAAACCCTAAACCCTAAACCCTAAACCCTAAACCCTAAACCCTTAACCCCAAGCCCCAGACCCTCAACCCTGGAACCCACCCTTAAAACCCTTAGTCGAGATTAAGAGTTGTCGGTTTAGGGTTTAGGGTTTAGGGTTTAGTTGTATTTAGCACAAGCCGACAAGGCTGGACAGCAGTGCACGCAGCATCAAGAAAACTCTGTTCCCCAAGCTCCTCCCAACCCTTACTTGGAGGATCATGGGACTTAGTAAATAGGGTTGCAAATAAGGTAGATATACTTATACTCAGCTTTCAACCCAGTTGAGGTACTTATAGCCTTAGTTAATAAGTCCCATGAACCTGCAGTACACTGAATCCCAAAAACTCTCAACCCTAAACCTGAGCCCAAAGCTCCAGACCCTAAACCCCAAAACCATAAACCCGAATCCCTGCAATCTCAAGCCAAAAAGCAGCCTAATGTAGGGGCCATGAAAACTACCTACACTATTTTGGGGCTCCTTATTATGACTATAGTGTAAAGGTGCCCCAAAACCCTATTCGAAGCATTAAGGCCCCTACATTAACACGAAGCCGCGGCAAGGATGAGTCGAAGCAGTATATTTCACAGAATCCTTGCTCCGACTACCTGAAAAAGGCCGGCGAAAGGTTCAATATAGGAGCTACTACCGGACTTAAGAATTACAATGGGGCGTGTGTGTGTGTGTGTGTGCGTTTTTTTTTTTTGAGAGGGGGGGGGCGGACTTTTTAGTGTATGGGGATTGTAGGGGGATGCCACTGCCGACTATTCCGACCCGATAGAGACTCCAAAACCCATTAATCAATTTATGCACCTTAAATCATATTAGGGACCCTGATATATTGTAAAGTCTATTCCTTCTTCACCTTCGGAGCCTTCGACGATGCTGAATAATGCTGTCCTGCTTCTTCTTTAGGGTTTAGGGTTCGGGCTTTAGGATTCAGGGTTTTACAGTCAGGGTTTAGAGTGCCGGGCCTATATTTTCAGGGTGTTTGTAGGCTTGCGAGGTTTGGGGCCTCAGGTTACCTGTGTGTTTAGGATGAGTGTCGCTTGTACCAGGAGGCTCCACAGAAACTACCAGTACGGAAGCAGGTCCCAAAAGACCATCCTTATCATGGCTTTTGGATCCTACGTACTAACAACCATATTCGTAGGCGGAATGATTATGCAAAACTTCGGTGGCAAATGCTGGCTGTGAGGGAGTAAAGATGGTAGCAGTGGCGGGGGTGGTCTGCTTCGGTCATCTTTGTTGTGTGTAGCCCAGGGGAGGCAGACCGGCACCCATTTGGTCAGCTTGGTATCAGTGCATTGATCCTGGGCCTTGAGGCAATTGGCGCGTCCGCCCACCAAGTGAGCATGAAGTACACGGCCGGCCCAGCGATCGGCGGCACTGTGTCTGCTCTCCTCGTTGTCGTGAAGTCTGACCAGTATATCAGACTGCGGTGACTCGCGATCAGATGCGAGCATGCATCGCAGCTCTGAACCCAATGGCCAGTCTGAGTGTGGGCATCCTGCGCTCCACGACCAGCAGTCGGGAGTGGGTCGAATCTCACCCGGCCCTCGATTCTTACTCGAGAAGATGCGAGACCGAGTTGCTGCAAGGGCTACAGATCCGCCGTGCCCTCGCCAACGTGGCTGACAATGCCGCTTCGGTCCTGGGCATGGTGAACACGGCGGGGACGTGCTTTGCCGATTGCACAATGTGCCACAACCACCGCCGCAAATGGTGCGACCACGACTCGCCGTCGCCGTTCCAAATCCCTAGACCCAAAGCCAGCAGCCTTTGTGGCGCGCCTCCTGCTAACCCTGCTAGTAGCCCGTCTGATAACTGGAAAGATCCCTTCGAGCAGCCCTTATAGAGGCGTTGTCGCATCCCCATAGAAACCTCATAGCAACCCTGATCGCCTTATTGGAACACCTTTAGTAACGACCCTTGGAACCCTATCAAGCATTCATACTTTTTATAAAAAAAACCTATAGAACCCATACAGCAACCTTCATAGTAACTTCTATAAGATTCCTATAAAACGCCACCCTTATAGGAACCCAAAGAAACCCTTAAAGAACGCCTTGATAGAGCCACCCCTATAGGAACCCCAAAAAACCCTTTAAAGACACCCTTGAAGAAGCCCTTTTTAGAAACCTTTAAAGAGACCGCTTAAAGAAGCCCTGTTTAGAAACCCTTAAAGAAACCCTTTATAGAAGCCTTCAGAGTAGCTTGTAGAAATCCTTCGCTGCGACCCGAAAGCCCTAAACCCCAAACCCTAAATTCCTAAACCCTAAATCCTAAACCCTAAACCCTAAATCCTAAACCCGAAACCTTAAATCCTAAACCCTAAACCCTAAAACCCTAAACCCGAAACCTTAAAACCCTAAACCCTAAAACCCTAAATCCTAAACCCTAAACCCTAAATCCTAAAACCCTAAATCCTAAGCCCTAAACCCTAAACCCTAAAACCCTAAACCCTAAAACCCTAAATCCTAAACCCTAAGCCCTAAACCCTAAAACCTAAACCCTAAACTCTAAACCCTAAATCCTAAACCCTAAATCCCAAACCCTAAGCCCTAGACCCGAAAGCCGCAGGCAGAAAAGCGAATTCGCGAGGAGAAGACCCGGGCCGAAGCCTCGAAACGCCTCGCTTCGGGCAAGAATCGCGTTTTCATAGGATTCCTTAAGGTACTGAGGGTTCTTGAATACTAAAAGGGAGCTATAGGGTTCTTTAAAGGGATCTATAGGGTTTAGGGTTTAGGGTCTACTTGGATATAAATCCTGGGGGTTCCTTTAAAGGGAGCTATAAGGGTACCTTTAAGGGGCTCCTTTAAGGGATCTATTATGGTTTTAGGGTTTGGGGATATAAATCCTGCATTACCTTAAGGACCCTAAACTATGGGAATTATGGTATATTCCTTATTATTGGTCATGCAGGATTTATATCATCAACCGTAGGATTCCTTAAGGTACTAGGAATCCTACGAAGCTAAGGGCTCTTGAATAAGGGCTCGGGTTTAGGGCATTAATTTTCATAGGATTCCTTGAGTCATAAGGGCTCTTGAATAGGGTAATTTGAAACGCTGCGCGTCGTCCGCCTCGGCCCGGCTGTACGCGCATGCGGCGAGCCCCAACACATAAAGATGCTACATTGCAGTCCCGTGTCGTCGAAAACTCCAGAAAGCTCGCACCTGTTAGCGAGCGGAGGAGGGGCGGGCGGGAAGGGTGGAGGGGGGGGAGGGGGGGGGGCCGGACCTTGGGGCTCATCGACACGTTTCCATTTTTTAGGGGGGGGGGGGGGGGGGGGGGGGGGGGGTGGCACCCTTTTTTTGGTGGGGAATAGAGGAATCCGAATAGGAACCTCTGACCGCTTCGGCCGGGGCCGAGGCGAATAAGGGCTTAGGGTTTTGGGTTCAGGGTTTAGGCTTTAGGGCAGTTTAATCGGATTTCTTGATGTAATAAGGGCTCTTGACTAGGGTAAATTAAAGCTTGAGATGAGGTTCTTTTAGGTCAGTTTTTAAAAAAATACGGTTGAGGTTCTTATGGGGTCACAAGGACCTGTTAATTGGGTTCTAGAGGGTAAGAAGGGCTGTTTATAGCGATTTTTAGCTGCCTAGTGAATCTCTTGAGGTTCTATGAGCAGGGTTTTTATGCTTAGGGTATAGGGGCCAATACCAATACCGTTCCTTGAGGGTCCTGATCTAGTCCCCTATGTTGGGGTACACTTTGGTGTTCCTTATGTTCAGGATTTCTGCACCAGAAAATTGAGGTCCTTGTTTGGCGTTCTTCTGTTGAGGATGCTACAGATCCATTATATCTGAACATCGCATGTCAGATACTTTGCTCAGGGTACGGAAAAGGGTTCTGGGTTCGAGGGTTCCAGGTTTAGGGTCGTTGTAGGTCGGGTTTAGATTTTTGGGCTGGAGGGTTTCGCGGTTAGGGTTCAGGCTTTTCGGGATTGCCCCTGACTCTTCAGGGGGTCGGGTGCTTTGGCCTAGGAGTTCAGGGCTTACAGCTTAGAGTAGGGTTTAGGGTTTAGGGTTTGAGGTTTAGGGTTTAGGGTTTGAGGTTCAGGGTTTAGGGTTTGGGGTTTGGGGTTTGGGGTTTGGGGTTTAGGGTTTGAGGTTTAGGGTTTAGGGTTTAGGGTTTTGGGTTAAGGGATTGTCGAGATTAGCTTGTTGGTCTGGGGGTCGCTGCAAGAAACCGCTTTGGCCTTTGCTGCTGCTTCGCTGCTGATGTTCTGCAGGTGGCGGGCCAATGAGTCCGGCTGTGCAGTGGTGGGGTTTTTCCCATTGGATGAGAAGCTTGTGTATGACTATGTGCCCGCATGGTCGGAGGCAGCCCAGTATCAGTGATGATCGGCTGGCCCGGCGTCGGCAAAACGCCAGCACTCATCGTAATGATGTTGAAAGTTGGTCGATATCACATCAGCCAGCTGGGCTTGCATGAGAAGCCTTCCTGGCGACGGGCCAAGTCTCTTGACAATTTCAGACATCGTGTGTCTCAAATTCATGATGGCAGTCCGGCTTATCGCGATCGTGAAAGGGATGAAGTGGGCCGGGACCGAGAATCGGGGCGACGCAAGCACCGGCAGCATAAGGGTGAGGCAAGATGCCCTGTGCCAGATGGCTGCTCTCGCAGCCGAGGGCGGCGACGCCGGCGCAGCGCCAGGGAGCATAGAGAGGTGGAAGTTGAACCGCCAGAACGCCGAACGTGCTTGGCGTGCAGTAAAGCTTTCCCATTTCTGAACCCCAACCCTACACCCAAAATCCACGGTCGGAAGCTTTCACATGCTTTTTCATGAACCGTTAGACATGCTCTTAATTGGTCATAACTTCATTCTGGGAGCATCTGATGTACCCGTACTGCGCAAGACTGCAATCGGGCTGCCGACGTAGCGCATCAGTTGTTCTGAAGCATGTCACAGAGTAATATAGAGGCCGTAATAATTTCCTATGCTATTGTGGGGGTTCGTTATTACAATTAATCCCCAAACCCTATTCTTTTTATTAAGGCTTATGAAGGGCCCCTATATTATAGTAGCCTTATCGAACCTTTGTAGTAACCCTCATAGACCCCGTTGAGGAACGTTTAGGGTTTAGAGTTTGTTGCAGGATGGAAACGGGGGCTTCAAAGGAACCTCGATTAGGTCATAGAGCCCCTTTCAACCCTTCCTCGAACCATGAACCCACCCAGGTTAGACCTTGAACCTGAAACCCTATGCCCGCATTCGCAAACCTAACCCCTCAATTCCCCAAAACCCCCCAAGCCATGGCTCCAGAACTTCCATCACCTTCTGTAGGAGTTCATATGAGGTTGATACAGCTGTTTTTTGCAAAGTTTAATATGTGTATATATATATAAACATCTTTATGTCTATATGTATATATATGTATATATATATATATATATATATATATATATATTTGGCTTTTCAGGTTTTAGAAGATGGTGTAGTTTCGCATGAGATTCTCAGAAAGTGAGGGTGAAGCATCCTTTTCTTACAAATCCTAGGGTTTAGGGCTTCAGAAGCTCCTTGGTTGGAATCACTAGCTCCAAAACCCTAATCCAAAACCCCGAAACCCTTCAACCCGAATCCCTTTCGGGTTTTGGGTTTAGGGAAGCCCCAAACCCAGACCCTTAAACCCTAATCCCTGAACCCTAGAGCCCTAGAGCCCTAACCCCCCCCCCCCCTCCCCCAAGACCCTGTGCCTTCCCCAGAGAGCCCAATACCCCTTAATTAAGGAGTATAGCCCAAACCATAGTATGAGTCCCCTTATTATTTAAGCCACATTCCTCAATTAAGGGGTATCAGAATTCCCAAAACCCTATAAAGATCCCTTAAAGGATCCCTTTAAAGGAACCCTCGGTTCTTCCTTAATTAGGGGCTATTGGGCTCTCTGGGTCGTTGAGGTGGAGAACTACCTCCATGAGTCGACCATGGAGAAAATCCAGGCTCCCATGGCTTGGCGTTTAAGGTTTACTAGGGTTTGGGTTTGGGGGGTTTAGGGGGTTTAGGGGGTTTAGGGCTTGGGTTTAGGGTTTTACTAGGGTTTGGGTCTGGGGGTTTAGGAGGTTTAGGGGGTTTAGGGGGTTTAGGGTTTAGGGCTTAGGGTTTAGTCGTTCAGGGTTTAAGGGTTGAGGGTTTGGAGTGAGGGGTCTAGGGTTTAGGGGTTTAGGGTTTGGGGGGTAGAGGTTTAAGGGTTTAGGGGTTTTGGGGTTTTGGGGGTTTGGGGTGTAGGGGTTTAGGGCTCGGGGGCCTGAGGGGTTGTAAAGAAAGGGCTTTCATACAAAGCTTATAGGGTCTTGTTCTAAGAACATCTTTTATATATGTGGGCTTACAAAGTTACCAGGGTGCTATGATAAAGACTCTACATAAGGGCTCGCTGAGGCTTGTGGGTTTGGGGTTGTGGGGTTGATGGAGATCCCGTAGTCTTCATTCTTAGACAACACACGTCAAGCCCTGCGCCCTAACCCTGAACCCCAGACCCCAAGCCCTATGGGGACCCTAATATAGTACCCTAAATAGTAGGATCCTTATTATAAGGATCCCAAAATAAGGTACCCTAATTTTCGGAAACTCCCATATCCTGTAAAAGCGAACTTGTGCCCCAATCCTAAATCGCGCTACTGGCGTTTTGGAACTGGAGTAGAGATTGGGGGAAAGCGTAAGGTGTACTATGCGTGTTTAGGGAGTATCAGGGGGTATTGCTTAGGAGGGGCCACCCTGTAATAGTGGTATAATAGGAACATAATCGGAATATAATAGGGCCCTAATATAATCCTTATGGTCACTATTACAGGGTGGGGGCAGCTTCTAAGGTATTGCACCCTAAACCCCATAGAGAGAGGAAGAGGTCCTCCATTATTCAAGCATTACTTGGAGGATCATGGGAGTAAGTAAGGTTATAAGTACCTTAACGGGGGTTACAAGTATAGTTACCCTAATTACTAGGATCCAGAGTAGGCCCTTATTCCCTTTTTGAGGGTTTCGGTTCCCTTATAACCCCCTTTAAACCAAAAAGGGCACCCTTTTTGTTCCTATGTTACTCTTAGGTCTAGATTATAACCCTAGTTACTAAGTCCCATGACCCTTTAAGTATTCCTTCTGCAAGAAGTGTTAGAGTCGCTGAGTGGGCTGGGGTCCCTTCATAGGGAGCCCGGTTCTAATCATTAAGGCCCCGATATCATAGAACCCTACTATGGATCCCTTAAGGCCCTTTAAAGGGAACCCTACTCTAGTCATTAAGGCCGCCATGGTAGCCAACCTCGTTGGCCAGGAGCTGTGCGATGAGGAGTGGATTTCGGTCCACTACAAGACCCTCATCCACATGGAGAATTCAGGGCCGCCCGGCGAACCGAGCCGTCAAAATCGACCCGAAACTCTAAATCCTAAGCCCATCAAGGAGCAACTCGGATTATGTGGCCCTACAGACGAGCCCGGATAGCTCAACACAAACCCTAAAATCCTAACCGCAAGCGAACACCCCAAACGAAGACCTCGTTTCGGGGACCTAGAAGCTCCCAGTCTGAACCTCGAACAACTCGAACGCTTGGATGAAGGGGGTACTGTAGGGGCCTAAACGATTACCTATATATACTATTTCGGGGGTTCCTTACTATGATTATAGTACAATGGGCCCCAAAACCCTATTCTACTTATTAAGGCCCCTGTAGTACACAGGCTTCTGGTGGTTAGGATGGGATTCCGTGAAGGTTTCTTTTCAGGCTTCTCTAAGGGCTTGCTGCACTTGTTCGAACATGTAATTTCCGAGGGATCTTGAATACCTAGACTCGGAGTATGGGGTAACTGAATCGTCATATGTAGGGGGGTCATTCAGACCTCCACGATATGAGGTGCGATTCGGTAGGTTGAAGGATCCCATGTGTAAGGGCTCTTATTTGGATAGCCCCGCCTACTGGCACGACTCAACTTAACCCTCGTGAATCTGAAGCCCTGTACGACAGCAAGCGGAACTGAAACAGTCTCGGAGCCCCCCCAAAGCTCCACTGTTGATGGGGCAAAATCCTGCAATACCCCTCCAAGACCCTATGCAAGCCTCTAGTCCCTCAGTCTGGAAGGCTTGAAGCAAGCCTTTTAAAAATCCCTAAACCCTAAACCCTAAACCCTAAACCCTAAACCCTAAACCCTAAACCCTAAACCCTAAACCCTAGACCCCTACCTCCGTGATAAAGCCCTGTATGCCACTCATAAACGCCATTGACAACCCCTGCAAAGCCTGCGAAGCCTACCCACACAGCCAAGTCTAGAATCCTGAACAAACCCTTTGCGGCATCCTTTATAGAACCAGCTCCGAGTTTGTTCCTCCCCTGAAGCTCCTTGACCAAGATGTGCACGCAACACCCAACGGCTAAACCCCAATTCTAAGCCCCAGAGCCTAAACCCTGACACCAAGCCCTAAATTAGTCTAAACGATAAAGCCTAAACACTTCTCCTTAAATCCTAAAGCCCAAGTAACCCTACATTGCTCTTGAAGAAGCCACCACCTTGGGGATGCAAGATGCATCCAAACCCTACTGCCCCCACTCATCAACGGTTAGATAACATGCATACTATAGCTCTCAGAAGCCCTTGATATGATCCCGAATTAAACTGTTACAGGGTGGGGACAGTACCCAACCTGAACCTAACCCCCGGACCCTGAACCAGAGACCCGAAGCGAACAGTAAGCCTTAAACCCTAAGCCTTAAGCCCAAAACTCTCGACCCGAAGCCCCAAACCTCATTGCGCTTCAAGAGCAACCCTTACCCCCTTACCCCCAAACCCCAAAACCATTCACCCGAAAACTTTACGACCCAAGAGATCTATAAGGGTACCAATTATGAGGCTGCTACAGGGTTAAGGGTTCCTTAAGAGGGATCCAACCCTAAATCCTAAACCCCATATTCCAACCCCTAAGCCCTACACCCTAAACCCTAATCCCTAAACCGTACACCCGAAACCTTAAAACTGTGGCATCTATATCGGTATGAACTATAAGGCTCAAGGGTTCCTAAAAGGGATCTATAAGTGATCTAAGGTGTGCGTGGATGTTCCTAAACCCTACACCCTAACCCCCATAACCCTAAACCCCATAACCCCAAACCCCATAACCCTAAACCCCATAACCCCAAACCCCAGAACCCTAAACCCCATAACCCCAAACCCCATAACCCTAAACCCCATAACCCTCAACCCAAGTCCCCCGTGGGATCTACTTGGAGGGTCGGGGGACTTAGTAACTGGTTATCTTAGGGACTTATAAGTACCATAACCTTAATTAGGGTCCCTTTTAGGGTACTTATAAGTCTACTTACTGCCTGCTTACTAAGTCCCTAAAAGAACCAGTTACTAAGTCCCCCTAAACCCTACCTGTAGATCCCTTTTCACAGGGGCCCTTAAGGAACTCCTTATAGTTACTAAGTCCTCCGACCCTCCAACCCAAGTACCCCGTGGGATCTAAGTAGAAGCCAAAAAGTTGGAAACCCAATAGCCTCAATCCTTAAGAGTAATGTATAAGGAATCCCAGCACTATTTGGCCTTAATTCGGTTTCCAACTTTACGGGGTCCTTAGGTCTCCTTAGCGTTCCTTTAAGGGTTCCTTTAAGAGTTCCTCAGGGTTCCTTTAAGGGTTCCTTTAAGGGGCTCCTAATCCCCCGTGGGATCTAAGGTGTGCGTGGATGTTCGAGCACGACAAGGTGCCCGACCTAGAGAGGTCGACGCCTCGGAGGGTGCGGAGGGGCGGTTTCTGTGTTCCAAGAACCCCTTTAAGGGATCTATAGGGTTCCTTTAAAAGATCTACAGGGCTCCTTTAAGGCATCTAAGAAGGGTTTAGGGTGTGAAGGCTTAGGTTTGGGGTTTAGGGTTTAGGGGCTTGGGGGTTTACAGGTTTAGGGTTTACGTAGAGATTTGTACTTTCTATACTAGGCCTGTTGTTTTCAGAAAGTCTCAAGTTTATGTGTTTTCAGAACTTTATTCGATGAAGTTGTATGTCCTGTTTATCAAGGCCTGCTTAGTGTAGAGGCAAGAGTTAGAACCTGGCGTGTACTTTCAGCATTCGTTGAGTGAGCGCCCTCCCTGAATCCATTTGCCTACGGTTCTTGAGCAGTTGATGTGATTCTTCGAGGGTTTGCATGTTTTAGCAGGGTGTGTTTTGTACAGTGTCCAAAGGTCAAGTTATATGAGTTAAACGCACCCTAAACCCTAAACCCTGCAAGCCCTAAACCCAAAACCGCATGTACAAGATCTTCGAGTTAATATGGGTGGTTGTCCAAACCAGGGTACCTTTTTGGGTCCTTAATATATTACGGAACCGAGTATTTAGGGTACCCAAAAAGGGACCCTAATTTTGACAACTATTATATCGGAGGCCTCAAAGGCTGGGATGAAGGTAAGGAGTTTGAGAATCCGAATGCCGTGCCGTACATGGCTTTGTGGTGAAACCTTTGCGACAACGTGGAATGATGTGAGTGATTTTAAGGGCTCTAAGCCCGAATCCCTGCCTAAACCCCGGTAGGAATTCGTCGAAGACGTACCTTCTCCAAACCCCAAACCCTAAACTAGGTAGGGCTTTGGGACATTTGATATTTGCTCTTATTGGGCTTATCAGGATCTTACCTACTAATATTTTTCAAAGGCTTTAAAAGCACCTCCTAGTAAACCTCCAACCAACCCTGAGGAAGCTCATTCTCGAAAACACACTAAACTCTGGACTACAAGCCTTACCTGAACTCCAAATAGCCTACACTTTGAAGAGTTTATATGAGGAAGGCATATGAAGGCCATCAAAAGGTAGCTTTCTTAGGGTTCAGGTTATCTTCAAGCCCCAAACCACCGTTCCCAGAAACCACCGCCTCCTCAGTTTTAAAGCCTAACCCTCCTGCTCTAAGGACTCATATTTCAAGGCTTTTTGGCTTAAAGACCATGTTATCCAGGGCTTTTGGGCCATTTGGATAAACCGCGGCTCAGGATGTATGCGCTCTTCAGCCGCGTACCGCAGACGCTGAAGGAAGTGCAGAAGGCAGCTTCAGCTGTTGAGGAGCAGCGCATGCTGACATGGATGGGGGGTTTCAAGGGTTCCAGTGGGGATGCTGTAGGCTTCTAAGTGGCTCCATATGTATAGAGGCTTCTACAGGCTCTGTAACCCCAAGGGGTCCAAAGCAGGTACTCGGTTTTCGGATCTTAGTTATGTGGGCTAGGATTTTGGAGAGTGTAGGATTATCAGGTACTTGGGCCTTCGGGGCAATGGTTTTATAGGTGTTTTGGCTTCTACAGCTCCTGGCATTCTGGTTTTGATACCTGGCAATAAACGACAAGACAAGCGATGCTTCGTCCCTTATACCGAGCCCCGAGCAAAACTTCAGAAAGCCCTCATACAGCCCTTATGAAACTCTTATAGTTATAAGGCCCTTGTACAGTGATACAATCCTAGAGCGCTAAACCATCAAACCTACACCCCGAAACCCTAAACTCCAAACTAAGCCGCAAGCTTTCGTCCCGATGCAGGTGATGATGGACTGCATGTGCGAAGCAGGACCTCCTGACTCTCAGTTCTTTCAGCTTGGTATAAGGCTGCCTTAAAGGTTCGCCTCAAACCCTAAACCCTAAACCCTAAACCCTAAACCCCTACATTCTGCACAGCTTTCGGGGTGGAGGATGTGGACTTAGGAAGGCTTCTGTTTCAAAGAGAGTCTTACAAGGGCTTTGTCAGTGTACCGGTTTCACACGTTTTTTTTTTGACAAATCGGGGCTTGATAGGGCTGATGATATAAATCCTGCATTGCCCATAATAAGGAATATATCATAATTCCCATAGTTTAGGGTCCTTAAGGTACCGTAGGATTTATATGATCAACCGTAGGGCTTGGATCGGACTTTTGGCTCGCTTTCAGGCTTTCGGTACGAGTAGGATCTAGGGTGGAAGGAGTTTGGGGGACTCGGGTTGAAGGGTTTAGGTGTTGGGTTGTCACTGAAGCCCAAACTCAAAATCAACTTAGATCCTATACTTGCCCCTAAACCCTCCTAGGACCCAGAGTAGGCCCTTATTCCCTTTTTGAGGGTTTCGGTTCCCTTATAACCCCCTTTAAACCAAAAAGGGCACCCTTTTTGTTCCTATGTTACTCTTAGGTCTAGCCTAAGCCCTGGATCCGAAACCCTCAGCCCTGCCCTACACCCTGCACCCGTCAGGTTTCGGGTGGAGTGTTCAGGATTGCGGCTTGATATGGGAGTTTCCGAAAGAGGGGACCCGAATAGAGTACCCCAAATGGGATGCTTCTTATAATAAGGACCCGAATATGGCATGCTTCTTATGATAAGGACCCCCAGATATGGTACCCCTAATTTTCGGAAAGTCCCATATTTTCTTCGAGTCTAAGTTTCCGTGTGTATCAGTTGCTTGGGGTTTTAGGGTTTCAGGTTTAGGGTTCAGGGGAGTTTAAGTTTCCCTACGTATCACTTGCTGAGGGTTTCAGGTCTAGGGTTTACGGCTTAGAGTTCGGGGTTTCAGGTTTTGGCTTTCAGATCTTGGGTGTCAGGTTTAGGGTACTTGCTAGGACACGGAGTGTTGTTTTTGAAGCAGAGAGCCTAAGCCCCTTAAGGGCTCTGTCGAGGTGACTCTTTTGTTTCCGGCCCACTGCACGATTTGGGTGGTTGTCAAAATCGTGGTCCCTTTTTGGGTCCCTAATAAAGTACGGCACCTAATATTTAGGGTACCCAAAAAGGGACCCTATTTTTGACAACTACCCATTTCTGGAAAGCCGGTTTCGCCAGGGCGAGGCCTAGAGTCAAGACGGTCGACCTCAAGTCGGCCTACAAGCAATTTAGGATGTCCTTAAGGGGGGGTGGTCCAAGGGGGGTAGGTAACCTAGTAATCCCCATTATTCCCCAATACTCCCTAAGCTTCCCTAAGGTTCCCCAAAGCTCCCTAGTACCCTCCCCCCTTGAACCACCCCCCCTTAAGGATCCTATAAAGCAATTGCCCCCTACATCCCGATGACCACTGCTTCTGCGTCGTATCCGTGAAGCGCCCTTGCGATGGTCGGGTCTTCTGATATGTGTCGAAGGTTCTGCCGTTTGGCGCTTGCGCCAGTGTGAGTCAACTCCTTCAACCGTGTGTCTCGGCTGTTGCAGCGAGTGACGCAAGAGGCATTGGTCATGGGTTTCAGTTACTTCGACGACCACCCTCTCCTTGAACTGCCAAGCTTGGCTTCCAGTTGTGACAATGTAGTGCATTCAATTCTGGCGCTGCTTGAAGACTTTGATCTCAAGGCCGATCTGCTTGGGGTCACCGGAAGCAGAGAGCCTAAGCCCCCCTAAGACCCTACACCACACCCTGAACGCACAGTTTGAGCCTGAACTCCATACCGCTTTATCGCGAATCGAGCAGGACGTGATGTGTTGAACGATCCGGAGAAGGTAGTGGACCCAGCAGGGTGATTGATTGTAGGGCTTTGGGTTGGGGATCATAGGGTTAACGGTTACCCTAAACCCTAAACAGTGGTTTACCTTGAACCCGGAACCCTAAACTCGAAACCCACAATCTTAGTGGTCATCATCTTTCAATTGCAGCTTGTCCTTCCCCCGGCTCCACCTAATAGGTATTCCGACTGTAGCAGGGAGGAAAAGGGCCTTAAAAAAAAGCTGTGGGTTTCCCTAAACCCTAAACCCTAAACTCTAAACTGTGGGTTACCCTAAACCCTAAACCCTCAACCGTGGGATACCCAGAAAGTAGATCCCCTACTTTGGGGCCCTTTACTACTAGGGGTACTTTATAGGGACCCCCCATTACTTAGGGGTACTTAGAAACAGTTTTGATTTTTGGTTATTATAATCCCTAAGAAACAGCTAAAGTTAAATTGTTTGCTAGGGTTCTAAGTTCAGTAAAGATTAACTAGGACCCAGAGTAGGCCCTTATTCCCTTTTTGAGGGTTTCGGTTCCCTTATAACACCCTTTAAACCAAAAAGGGCACCCTTTTTGTTCCTATGCTACTCTTAGGTCTAGTTAAGGGGTCTACTTTTTGGATCCTGCCGGAAGTCGGAGGTTTAAGATCACCGTCTCTGGGGTTTCAGGAGGTTAGGCCTTCGCTATCTCGGCCATTTGGTGCAGAGTTTCAGGGGTTTCGGTTTAGGGTTCGGTTTTAGGGTTTTAGGGTTCAGGGTTCGGTTTTAGGGTTTTGGGGGTTTGGGGATTTAGGGGTTCAGCGGTTCAGGGGTTCGGGTTTAGGGTTTAGGGTTGCTCAGAGAATCCCTTGGCTCGGTGGGAGGGCTAGAGGGTTGAGGGTTCAGGGTTTAGGGTTTAGGTCCACAAAAGCAAGATGCTGCCCAAACGGGTCTTCCCCTAAGTCTTGGTGCTTCTCGATCGTCCGTGTGGCGTCTTGCATAAACCCTAAACCCTAAACCGTAGGGTCCTGGCCTTTCGTGGCCTTCTTAGAAGTTGCAGACTTGTCGCCTCTGGGAAAAAGGAGCTCCAAAAAATCAAACCGTAGGGACCCCTGATTTTCTGAAAAGCCCCGCATGGTTGCTTGCCGCTTTCCCCAGGCTCCGGGTCCCAAGACCTGCATCCCAAACCGTGGCACCCGCAAACCCTACGCCCTAAACCATGGCACGTTTCACTAAGTTGAGGGCGAAATGCCAGCGCTACTTTGGAGAAAGGGTGCACATCAACTTTAAAAAAAAACCATGGCACCCTGAACCCTAAACCCTTAACCTAACCCTAAACCCTAAAACCGCGACACCCCTAAACCCTCAACCATGAACCTCAACTGGCGCCATGGATGCGGCCAGCCAAATATAGGGGTCTTATGAATTAGAATAGGGTTCCCTCTAAAACTTTAAAGGGGTCTATATGGGATCTATAGTAGGGGTCTATGATATAGCGGCCTTGTGAATTCGAAGAGGGTTTTGGGGTATATTATGCTTTAGTTGTAATACGGAACCCACAAAATAGTATAGGTGATTATTAAGGCCCCTATAGCAGGATGTTACGTTTCAGATATGGGAAGGTGCATGTGTAGGATTTAGGAAGACGGGCTAGAGCTTAGAGTTTTCGTGATGAGAGAATCCTAAACCCCAATCCGTGGTGGGCTTCAGACTTGGGTCGCTGCTGGAAAAAAGGCTGTAATGTAGGGGCCAATGATTAGCAATATGATTTCGGGGGCTCCTTAGCATAACTATAGTAGAATACAGCCCAAGACTCTATTCAAATTACTAAGGCCCTATTTAGTGCGACTCCGCGTGGGTTTGAGGGCTTTTAGGATGTTAGAATTGAGCCTAAACCCAGCATTCCCTAAACCCTGAACCCAGCTTTTTCCTTTTTTAAAGGGGGTGTTGGAGGGCTGGGGCTCTGGGATTCTTGCACTTACTTGTAATTCTAAGCACTGTCTGCTGCTTTCATCCTAAACCCTACTTGGAGGATCATGGGACTTGGTTATATATATATGGTAACTTTACTTATAGATACTTCTAACTCCAATTAAGGTACTTATAACCATACTTACGAAGTCCCGTGACCCTTCAAGTACGTCCAGCACCACGACAGTTTCAGCATTTAGTCCGGAAATTTCAGATTGAAGCCTTGAACCCTAACCCTAAACCCTAAACCCTAAACCCTAAACCCTAAACCCTAAACCCTAACCCTAAGCCCTAAACACGAAACGGGTTTAGAGTTCAGGGTTGAGGGACCCTAAAACTGAAACCCTAAACCCTGCTTGCCAAAGGTCAAGGACCCCGTGTCGTTCATCACAGCCATCCTCCACCTGAAGCACAAGTGAGCCTCAAACGGTTCAGGGTTAGGGTTTTAGGGTTTCGGGTTTAGGGCTTTAGAATTGAATGGTTTAGGGTGGAGGGGTTCAGGGGTTTAGGGTCGAGGGGTTTAGGGTTTAAGGCTTTGGGGGTTTCGCCACTCTTCTTCCTCTGGTGATGGCATTGACGATGCTATCTGTGACCATTTAGGGTACTTTATACCCTCCCTCCGAAGACACCCACTTCCTGTAGAACTCTTATGTACCCTCAAAGGGACCCCTGTAGTACCCCTGTATTACCCTTAAAAGAACCCTTAAAGGGACCCGTAGAGTACCCTGTATTACCCCTATAGAACTCTTAAAGGACCCTTAAAGGGACCCTTATGGAACCCGGACCATCCAAAACAGGTACGACCTGTGAAGGAGCTGCCACCCACGGTTTAGGGTTTAGGGGTTTAGGGGTTAGGGTTTAGGGTTTAGGGTTTAGGGTTTAGGGTGTAGGGTTTAGGGTTTAGGGTTTAGGGTTTAGGGTCTAGGGTTTAGGGTTTAGGGTTTAGGATACACATCACCGGCAATAGTAGAGTGTTTACCTGAGCCTCATACCCGAAATCTTACGCCCTAAAATTATCATCCAAGACTCCCAACACCACCGAAGCCTTTCACTCCAAAACCAGGTACGACCGGTTTGTGAAGGAGTCCTTCAAGGAAAGCAAAGACTTCCAGCTGGCATTGAAGCAGGCGTTCGAGTCCTTCCTCAACAAGGAGCGCTAAAACCCTAAACCCTAAACCCTTAACTTTAAGAGCTTTCGTAATCTGCGTCAAGGGTGAGGGCTTGTAGGATTTGTGTACCATGTACGTATGCCTGTGGCTGCAATTTCCCACTTTTCCGAGGGCTGTAACCTACAATAACTGGTCAGAACCTGCTCGTTTGGTACGGTCTAAGGTTTCGGGTTTCGGGTTTCCCGGTTTGGGCAGTCTGGAAGTGGAGGGGTTTGAGGCATTTACCAGGGTTTCCCAGAGATCCCAAACCCTTTTATTGAGGAATATGCTTTGAGTCATATTTAGGATCCTACTACAACTTAAGGTATATTCCTGAATTATAGGGTTTTGGAGGCTCTGGGTTTTCTTTGGCTTCGGGATGATGCCTTTGGCTGGCTTTTGTCGTCCTCTCGTGATTCGAATGGCCCAGGGGCTTAGACTTAAGGGTTTAAGTTTACGGTTTAGGGTTTAGGCTTCAGGCTGAGGGTTTCTAGCTAGTTACTACCTGAAGGGTCATGGGATGTAGTAACTAGGCATATAAATAAGGTAACTATACTTCTGACTCCAATTAGGGTACTTATAACGGTACTTACAAAGTCCCATGACCCTCCAAGTAAGCCCTAAACCCTAAACCCCTAAAGATCCCTTATAGATCCCTTTCAGGAGCCCCTTAAGGAACCCTTTAAGGAACCCTAAGTCCCATGATCCTCCAAGTAAACCCTAAACCCTGAACCTTACAAGAGGCGGCTCACTGCTTCATGATCCTCCAAGTACGGGGTCTTCTGGTCCTTACTAATCCAAGACTTCAGTTTCAGTTTTTCACGTCCTTATAGCCTGGTTTATCGCAACATCCGAAGAAGCTCATCGTCCGGTTCAGTACACCGTGGCGGTTTAGGGTTTAGGGTTTAGGGCGCTTTAGGGTTTAGGGCTTAAGAGTGGCAGCTCAAGAAGGCGAGCGGGGAGGTAACTCTTGATGGCACTGGCTGCCTCACCGTAAAGGATGAACCACATCAGGTAGTGCACGACACAATCCTAGGGCTCCCAAAAAGCGCAGAAGCAAACTAAGAGAGTGATATCCCAGATAACCCTTAACCCTCTAACCCGAAGCCCTGGGCCCTAAATCCTTACATGCCTATGCTTATGTCTTTTTTGTCGTGGTTTCCTTGCTATGGTAACTTCGCTTTGGCTCCCTAGCAAAGACTCACTTGGGAGTTTCCGAAAATAGGGGACCCTAATATGGTACCCTAAAAAGTAGGATCCTTATTATATATAAGGACCCCAAAATAAGATACCCATAATTTTCGGAAACTCCCTAAACCCTAAACCCTATACATCCCTTATAGGAACCCTTAGAGGATCCCTTTAAAGGAACCCTAAGGTACCCCTAATTATCGGAAACTCCCACTTGTTGCCCGCGGCAAAGCCTGAGAAACCGAACTCCGAAGCCCTAAGGGTTGGGGATGTTCGGGGCTGGGATTAAGAACTTCTTAGGGACCCAAAAAGCACATAAGCATAAGCATTTTATGGGGATATCCCGATCATATTCTTGGGCTTCATGATAAGGGGGTTTATATGGGCAGTCCCTTTCCTAATTGTTGCTTATGTGCTTTTTTGGGGCCCTAACTTCTTCCTCCAGTAGTAGAACAGGGTTTAGGGTTCAGGAGTTAGGATGCTTTTCAAGGCCCCTGTTCTTTAGCACCGCCATTTCACGGGTAGGGTCTGCGGTTGCAGGACACGCGAACAGCCCAGTATCTGTCTCTCTACGTCGACGATCAGCAGATGCCTCAAAGAATAGGGTTCCCTCCTTTAACCCCATACAACCGAAATCCTAAACCCTATGCCCGAAACCCTGATCCCTGAACCCTAGCTAAACCCTAAACCCTATACCCTAAACCCTGAATAAACCTACCTCTATGGGGATGTGGAAAAAGGAAACCATATTAAGGAACCCGAAAACTGGTGGCTCTCTTGGGGTCGAGGTAGGAGTCTTGACCACTCAGCAATCAACAAACCCTAACGCCCGAATGGATCGGTACGATACCCTAAACCCTCTACGCAAGAGCCCCTCTCCGGATCCGAAACACTCAAGCTAAAGCCCGGACGCCTATGCAGCGGCCTGGGGGCTTCGTCATATTTGTGTTCAAACATATACATATGTGTGTTTCTGTCTGTCTGTCTGCCTGCCTGCCTGTCTGGATGGATGGATGGAGGGACGTAGGTAGGTATGCATGTATGTAGTACTCTTTGAGAACCTTGGAATACAGCTCTAAGCCCTGCTCGAATAGGTTTCATTATGAAAGTCTTCATCTCAGCCCAGCCCGAATTCCTGACACCCTGACTCCCTGACATCTACTCTAGACAGCCTTACAGACACCAAACCCCAAACCCCAAGCCCTCAATCCTACACACCAACGTCTAGCATCTTCCTGTAGCACTTACCTGTAGCTCAAAAAGCCTGCCGGACACAGGGGATGCATAAGAAAGCCATGAAGAATGAGCCCGAGCATGTATCTGTTTTCGGCCACTGCTCTCAGCCTCACTGAACTTCCAAAACTGCACGATAGTGCCAGGGTTTATCGTGTAGGGCGGAGGGTTAATAAATGTTTTAGCATGGCCCTGTAGCCCTAAGCCCCGAAACCTAAGCCCTGACACCTACAGCCGAATCAACCCTAAACCCTAAACCTCTAAACCCTAAACCTCTAAACCCTAAACCTCTAAACCCTAAACCCTAAACCCTAAATCCCAAGACCCCAACACTCTGAGGGCTCTCAGATCCGAAACGCGGTTTCCTTCGTGGCATGCCTTTTTGGGAGTTTTCCGAAAATAGTACCCCAAATACTAGGATCCTTGTTTTGAGGACCCCAAACTCAGGCACCCCTAATTTTCGGAAACTCCCTGTTAGACACTTGCAAGTTCATCGCCCTAAATTAGGACCTCTTCGCTCATTGCATGACCGAGGTTCCGCAAAGGCCTCAAAGGCATGTCTAGCGACGCGGACGTGGATGCGGCACTGGAACAGGCCGCTGCAGGGCGAATCGCACATGCCCCAATATCCGCAAGACCCTAAAAAGAAGCCCTTCGTGCAGGGTTGATTAGGGCTTCAGGGCTTGCGGGGTTTGGGCTTTTAGGGTTTAGCTTTCCACCCTAGGCCCGAAGCAAAAGATGTGAAAGCCCTAGACCAAAATGCAAAATTTGAGGTTGTTCCCCTTTTTTCTTTTAATAGTGGTTTGCAGGGTTTGCAGGGTTTAGGGTTTAGGGTGAAATTCCGTAATGGTAGGATACATGCGGCCTCCCGGCTTGGATGTCATAGCCCAAATATGGGAGTTTCCGAAAATTGATTAGGGTACCTTATTTTGGGGTCTTTATAATAAGGATCCTACTATTTAGGGTACTATATTAGGCTCCCCTATTTTCGGAAGCTCCCAAATATGACGGATCGGAGAGACAGCGACTGGCGGAGGTAGGCAAGACAGTGAGTTACTCATACCTTAAACTACCAAACCCTACCTTTTTCTAGCTTCTTATTATAAACCCTAATATGGAATCTATAGGGACCCTAAAGTAGTTTTTGGTAGGTTAAGGTAGATCCCCTTAGGGTACTGTTAACCTTAGTTACTAAGTCCCATGATAATCCAAGCAGCATTTAAGTGTTCGAGCACAATGTGCAGCAATGAGTGGTAGCGGCTGGTGCGGTGGTGACAGCAGCGTTTGGCAGGACTGCAGTTGGCAGGGGGATGGAATGGAGGAAGGAGTCAGCAAAAAGGATCCACGAAACCTCTCGCAAGGCACGAGGGAAAACGAAAGGCGGCCGCTGAGGGAGGAGCTGAAGGAGATACGGTCCGAATGCCAGACCCTCAGGAACATCAGCGACTTCAACTGCTTGCCGCCGTGCAAAGCCCGTAGCATGCGAGCAGTCACTTCGTCTGACTTCCCCCTGACGGTCGCGAAGCAGGTCGCTCCGGTCCTGCTTATTAACTAACCAGCCGTGTTGCGGTTCCCTTGGCTCTTGAGCTCCTTCTTAATGGATTATCACCATCCCTGGCTCCTTAGCTCCTCCAATATCAATAGTTAGTCAATCCGGTCAGCTTTTTTGGACTTGTTCATAATCAAGAACTCCGGGACACTGCGCCCGAAGCCCTAGACCCTCAACCTAAGCCCTGATCTCTTAGGTAGGGCTACGACCGCGGTGTTCTAGACAAAGCCTGGACTCCAGATGTTAGACTCTGAAATCGGTAGCCGTTTAAACTTTACGGGCTCGAGATGTAGGCTTTAGTCTTTAGATCCAAGTTTTCGAGATATTAGCATCCTTCTGAAGTTTTTCTTTTGGGCCCTTGATTAAACCGAATAGCAGGAACAAGGGTACCCTTATCATGAAGGGGGCTACTGGGGAACCTAGCGCCGTGAAATTCTATACCGTCTATATTTGAAGACCCTACCTTAAGCCCCTGTAGCCTGAATGTTTTCCTTACGGCTCTCGGGGCTCATACTTTAAGGCTTCCGGGCCCAATGACCCTACCATGCTCGGCTTTTGGGTAATTTTGAGCCGTAGGGCTATGGTACTCGCACTGGGCACTGTACCACTACCATGGTCGACAACGATGACAGCAATTACGACTACCAGCTGAGTATCCTACTTAAAATCAAACCCTGAACCCTACCCCCCTGAAAGCTAAATCCTACCCTAAACCCTAAACCCTAAACCCTAAACCCTAAACCCTAAACCCTAAACCTCTGAGTTCCAAACCGCTTATGACAGAATCCCCCTAAACCCTTAACCCTAAACCCCACACCCTCAATCAGCACATGGGTGGTTGTCAAAATTATGGTCCTTTTTTGCGTCCTTATTATAGTACGGCACCTAATATTTAGGGTACCCCAAAAAGGACCCTTATTTCGACAACCACCCAAAACGATTGAAAGGGCTTCGGGTTCATGAAGCGGCAAGATCCTTCTAGAAAAGACCTCGGACGAAGGAACCCACCCCAAGTTTCAGCAAGTGTCAGATTGGCTAGGGTTTATTTACCTAAGGTTTGGGGCGCAATTTTCAGAAAGTTCCAGGTTTAAGCGGGTTTAAGGTTTAGGCTCAGAAGCCCCTGATAAAATCTTGCGCAGGTCGTGACCGTCTTCCGGTTCTTGCAAGACAAGGCAAAGTGGCTCGGGTTAAGCTCCGGGGCTCTCAAACACACTATGCGGGGTTCAGAAAAGGGGTTCTACTTGGAGGATCGTGGGACTTAGTAACTAGGGTTATAAATAAGGTAACTATACTTATAACTCCAATTAGGGTACTTATAACTTTACTTACTAAGTCCCCTGATCCTCCAAGTAGAAGGATTGGATTCTGCCATAAGGGGTTCAGGGTTTAGGGTTCTGAATCCCCAGGGTGCGAAGCTCGCCTTCGGCGAGGGCCATGCCGCACCTGTGCCTAGGGGTTAGGGGGATTAGGAGTTCGGTTAGCATTCTAAAAGGGTTCTCCGACAGGTTTCTGAGCATGAGGGCTACTTGTGCGACCCTGAGATAAGGTTCCTCCGTATCATGCTAATTCGGGTCTTTGTCCTTCATGTTGTCAAACTCTTGGCTGTTTAAGTGTCCTCACTGTTAGGACAGTTCTGACCCTTGCCGAAGGAGGGGTTTGTTTGGCTGGCGTGCAGGGTAGGGGTCTGCATGCATAACATGGGGTCTTGTGGATCATAAACGCTCAGCCGCTCAACCCTAAACCTAAACCCGATACCCGAATTCGCCTAAACCCTAAATCCTAACCCTAAACCCGAACCCTAAACAGCAAACCCTAATCCTAAACACTAACCCTAAACCTAAACCTAAACCCAGTACCCGAAGTCTGTATTGCGTGAATCGAAGGCATTGGTCCAAGGGTAAAAGGAGGGATTCCTTAATAAGGACCCCTAGGTATATACAGCTATTATATACCCATTATATAGCCCATTATGGGGTAGGGGTCCCCATTAAGGGTCCCTCCTTTTCCCCTAAACCCCCTAAACCCCCTAAACCCCCAAACCCCTAAACCCTTAACCCTATACCCTCATAGAATCCCTATAGATCCCTTTAAAGGGTCCCCTTAAAGGGTCCCTCCTTTTTTTCCCCTTTGGATAGGGTTTGGGATTTGCGGCTTACGGTTCGCTTGGTGGTCCGTTGAGGCGCCTGGGGGTTGAGGGGGTTCACAGAGTGGGTGCTTGGAGGGTCGGGGGACTTAGGAAGTAGGTGGTAAGTAGACTTATAAGTACCCTAAAAGGGACCCTAATTGGGGTTATGGTACTTATAAGTCCTTAAAATAACCAGTTACTAAGTCCCCCGACCCTCCAAGTGGAAGAATTCCTTTAAGGGTTCCTTGAGGGATCCATAAGGGTTCTACCCAGGGTTTAGGGTTTAGAGTTTCCGAAAATTAGGGGTACCGTATTTTGGGGTCCTTATAATAAAGATCCCACTACTAAGGTGCTATATTAGGGTCTCCTAGTTTCGGAAACTCCCATTTGAGTCAGCCATAGTATAGCTGCTCGGACGGAGGGAGGATGCTATTCCTGATTAATCACCAGTAGTAGTATCATTCTTGCGTCGGAAGAAGTACACTATGGTATACCTAAACCCTAAACCCTGCTATACCCAAACGGTTTAGGGATTGGGGTATGCTCTGCCCCAAAAGGCTTTTCTAGTTGTCAAGGCCCCTCTGGCGTTCCGGAATTTGATCTCCTGGCTTAGGGTTCAGGGTTAGGGGTCCAAGGCTAAGGGTTCAAACTTGGTAGCCTCAGTCGCAAACCCTTCCTAAATCAAGCACAATTCCGCAACTCCACACGTAAAGCGTCATAGATCGAGCCAGGACGTCTTTGAGAATTTCTACAAGCAGCACCTCGCGCGGCGACTTCTCACAGGAGTTTCTTGGGTTGACAAGAACACACTGAGGCATTTGTTGAAGGATCAGAGGACGTGAATTGCCGAGCAGATTGAAAGCAGTGTTGCGAAGACCCAGGTGGATCTATCCTAACCCTAGCTGCCCTAGCTCTACTTATACCTGGGGTACTGCCCCCATACAGTAACAGCCCATGATAAGGGTGCTACTGCGGGCCATATATGTGCATATGAGTAGGTCTCTAAATCAAACCCTAAACTCTAAGCTTTTAAACCGTGAATCAGGGTCCCTGTTTTGGGGGCCACAAATAGTACGGCACCTTGGAGCCTGAAAGCGACCCGTACTTAGAGAACGACCCACACATTAAGTACTAGGATGCCCAGTAGTACCCATATTCCCTTAGGTTCTTATAAAGTAACCCGATACCAACAAGGGAGCCCTTTTTATTCCTAGGTTACTGGGCATCCTAGAAGTATCTTATCCAACTGTTGCTGAGTGCCACTTGTATCGTCCTGGCAAGTTCCTGAAACGGTTTGGGGTTTAGGGCTCAATTCGGTTTTTGGGCCCCTACATTCTGTTCCAAGCACGCAGACTCGAGAGTAGAACAGATAGAGAGAGAAAATCCTACACACTAAATCCTCGCGGCCTCTTTTGGAGCCCCCCAAAACCCCTAAACCCTTGAAGCCTAAACCGTTAAGTCGAAAGCCTTCACAGGAAGAAGCGTCAGCGACGAAGCCGAGAAGAGCATGATCTCGAAGCTTAAGAGTGGCCTGTCCGGTTTCCTTACCTTGGGTTAGTAGGGAATGGAGGACTGGGGTACAAGTATATCTACTATTACTACCATTCTTCCATTCCCTACTAACCAAAGGTAAGTTTCAGATTCACGGTTTCGGGCTTAGGTTTCACGATTTCGGGTTTTAGGTTGAGAGTTCAAGGCGCAGGGTTTAGGGTTCACGGCGCAGGGTTTAAGGGTGAGAGTTTATAGGGCTTTCGGGAAAGATCTTATGGTTTTTCTAGCAGGTGTTTCTAGATAGTAGGGCTTCGTAGGGTGTAAGTTATCGGGTTTAGGGTTCAGGGCTTCGAAACCTGTCAGCCACGTCCTGATGGCTCATTTTGGCAAGTTGTTGGGGTTCCCTGAGTTTTTTTTGCAACTTGTGTGTGTTTATGGCTCCGAAAGGAAATTATGTTTCGCTGTGGTTTGCAAGATTTCTTGCTGGTAGGGTGAGTATTATGAGGATGGAAGTATTCTTCCGGAGACTTGAGAAAAGCTTAGACTACCGTAGTACCCATACGGTTGATGATATAAATCCTGCATGACCCATAATAAGGAATATGCTATAATTCCCATTGTTTAGGGTCCTTAAGGTAATGCAGGATTTATATCATCAACCGTATTGTGGAACACTGACTGGCCAGGCTCCTTCCTTGCAGGCCCTCAATTTCAGGATCCCGGGTACAATCCGTATTTTGGGAGGCGGGTGTACTAAACAGGGCCGAAGCCATCGTGATAAAGCATACTTGGAAGGGCAGGGGGACTTAGTAAGTAGGTTATAAGTAGAGTTATAAGTACCCTAAGTAGAGTTACCCCCAATTATAACCCTACTTATAACCTACTTACTAAGTCCCTAAACCCCTAAATCCCTAAACACTGAACCCTTATAGATCCCTTTAAGGAACCCCTATAGATCCCTTTAAGGAACCCTTGTAGGATCCCTTTAAACTAAGTCCCCCGACCCTCCAAGTAGGCCTGTACGCTTCGGCTTTGAGCTGTAGCGTTCGAGCTTAAGCAATGTTTGGAGCTTGAGTGGTTTAGGGTTTAGGGTTTAGGATGGTCTTCTGTAAGTCTGTGCGCTCCAAACTAAGTTTACCTGCTGCTTGAACTCCAACAATTGTTAAGTAAGGAATATATTTTTGCATACATTATCGGATCCGAAATATGATTCAAGGTAGATTCCTACTAAGGGGTTGTGGAGTTTCTAAAAATCCTAAACCCTAAACCCTTCTTAGATCACTTAAAGGAGCCCTATAGATCCCTTAAAGGAACCCCAAAGATCCCTTAAATGAATATTCCTAGACAAAGGGGTTTTGGTGTCTGGCCCTCAAAAGATGGTTTCTGTAATCTGCCTGGTTTGGGTGGTCTTTCGGGCATGCACCACATGGGTGGTTGTCAAAATTAGGTTGGGTACCCTAAATATTAGGTGCCGTATTACAATAAGGACCCAAAAAGGGACCATAAATTTTGACAGCCACCCATATGCTGATTGAGGGTGTGGGGTTTAGGGTTCAGGTGTTGCAGAACTGCCACTTCTTTGGGTTTCAGAAGTACAGCTCAAGATTTCGACTCACGCTCCAACCCGAGCTATACAGAACCCCCCAAAACCATGTGTAGTATGGTTCTTTGGGGCTGACGCCTTGAAGCCTGTTTCCTCAAGAAACAAGCCTGATCACGTCGAACCTCCAGCCCAAGCCTACATGCCGTGAACCCTAGCTCCGACACCGACGCGCTGGACTCAAAACCCTTACTTGGAGGGTCGGGGGACTTAGTAAGTAGTTAGTAGACTTATAAGTACCCTAAAAGGGACCCTAATTGAGGTTATGGTACTTATAAGTCCTTAAAATAACCAGTTACTAAGTCCCCCGACCCTCCAAGTAAACCGGACAGCTTAAACCCGGAACCCTAAAGCCCGAAAGCCTAAATTCCTGAACCCTGTTGCCAAAAAGTCACGTATCACGCCCGTATTAGGCCCCGTAGACACCCCGCCAAAACCTGCAAACAACATACAGCAAGTTTGCGAATGCACATAAAACCTTACGCGCAAAACGAGCCCTAAAGTGAGCTACCCTCAAACCACCTAGCCTCAATCCCTAAAGCCGGAAAGTGCCATGCAGCCTTCCCCAAGCAACCCCCTACGGAGTCCTTATCCAATCCGGTCGTCCATCCAAATCCTTGTGGGACCCTTTAGAGTCCCGTAAAACCTCGCGGGTTCTGCTGCATTGATTCTACACCCCAAACGCTAAAATCCACCCTAAAATCTTTAACTTTACGCTCCTCATCAGAAGCCCTGGAACGAACCCCGGAAAGGAACCCCCCCCCCCCCGCATCCTCGAAACGCTAACCTGAAAATGATCAAGTATGATCAAGTAAAGTGCAGTATACCCGAAAACACCCATTGTGATCATTATGCCGCCCCCTGTTTCACGGAATTCTCAAGCTTTGAACCCTAAAACCTAGCCGCCAGGTGAATGTGGACATCAGTACACTTCGAAGCTTGAAGGCATGTGAGGGCCCGAGTGGTCCATCGGAGACGGGAAAGGATCCTTCCAGGGTTGAAGGCTTAAAGGGAACTCCAGAAAGTTGGAATATGGTTTCAGGGTAGGATACCCTATAATTTACCATATAGGGTTTAGGATAATCATATTCCAACTTTCTGGCTTTTACCTTACCTGAACCCCAAACAACTTGCTTTTTGACGGAGTTCTATAAAGAAATCGTAATAAGGATCATCAACAGTTAAGGTGTATCTGTCGGGTCTTATGTATACGGTGTCTTTAGCGGGTTCTGAGAAGTGATTGGTTACTGCAAGGGCTCGACGGTCAGGATTTAGTTTAGTTCTAGTAGTGGTTTGGGTATGCTATCATATGTGGGACTACAACGGCCATAGCATGCTATTGCCAGATATACATATGGGTGGTTGTCAAAATTAGGGTCCGTTTTTGGGCTCCTATTGTAACACGGCACCTATTATTCAGGGTACCCCAAAAGGGCCCATAATGTTGACAACCACCCATATCTCTACATTAACGGTTTGGGAGATTTTGTAGGATTCTTGTTTGTTGTTGTCCATATCTAAGCCCCGACCTCTGAGCTTCTAAACCCTAAGCTTTCATAAGAACTCGTTGTTACTTGTTTAGGTTGACCTTCGGCGCCCAAGCCCTCATCGACTGCGTTAGGGTCGAGGGTCTAGGGTTTAGGGTTTAGGGTCGGGGGCTTAGGGTTTATATAGGGTTTAGGGGTCAGATTTTAAGGTTATAAATGTATCCAACTGCAACCCAAAATTGGTTACTCCCTGCAGCGACCCCAAAACGCGTGACACAACGTACAGCGTGTGAGCCAGAAGAAACATGACTAAGCCGTGAATCTCTAACTGGTTTAGGGTTGAGGAGTAGGTTTAGGATTTAGCTGCTGTAGCGTTTTGGGTACAGTAGCATTTTGGGTTGTGGATTTTGTGGGCTTTGGGGGGTTCGGGGTTTCGTTGAATCCGAAACCTTGGACCAGACAGAACCCTAGACCCAAACGAACACATTGAAGAGCGAACCTCACAGTCTACACTCTAGTCGTATAAGCATCCAAACATAGACTTTTGGCCGCGACATGCTTACTTGCCTGGCATGACGGGGGTTCCGTTTGCTTTCTGGAGGTGTTTGCCTGGGTCCCTCACACGAGACATGTGCCTCAAACTAAGCCCCAAATCCCAGACCTTCAAACCCTCAAGCACTAGACTTAGGGGTACTTAGAAATAATTTTCAATTTTTGGTTATTATAATCCCTAAGAAACAGCTAAAATTATAATTTTTGCTAGGGTTCTAAGTTCAGTATAGTAGACGCTCAACATCCAACCCTAAACTCCGAAACCTCAATCGCCAGACCTTAAACCTAAACTGCCCAAGCCCCCTAAATTTGCTAAACTCTAGGCCCTCAACCCGAAGTCCTAAACCCTAAGCCCTATACCCTAAACCCAACGCCCTATAAACCCCAACCCCTAAGCCTTCAACCCGACAACCACAAAGGTTCCAGGACATGAAGCAGTCAGAGGAGATCATGAAGCAGTGAGCCGCCTCACGTAAGGTTCAGGGTTTAGGGTACAGGGGGTTTAGGGTTTAGGGTGTTTAAGGTTTAGGGTTTACCTGGAGGATCATGAACTCTGTTGCCAGGTACAAGAGCTCCTTCGCCAGCAGTTCCTCGATGGCGTTCGCTGCCAAGTTCCGTCATCTTGTATCTCAAAGCTTCTTTTGCGCTGCCAGGTTCAGGGATTTGGGTTGAGGGTTAAGGGTTCAGGGTTTAAGGTTTGAGCCGGCAGAAGAGTTGCCATCATGATGTAAAGTTCTTTCGATAGGAAATCTGGCTCTTTGTGGCAAAAATTTGTGTCAACATTGTTGTCGTCGGTCTCACCATGTCTTACCCGCCATTGATGTGACTGCCCGCAGCAGCCTTGAATCACCCAGACGAGGTTTAGAGTTTAGAGCCAATATGCCAAGCTCTGAATCGTCCACCCCCCAACGGAATGATATGTATAGCACTACCTGGACCCCAAATAACCGCCCCTTTTAGGGTTCCTTATTATGGTTTCCTTACAAAGCTCCTCAAAAATCTAGGTTCTTTAGGTTTAGACGCAGAATCTTTCCGAAGCCAAGAGCTTACACTCCGGAGAAAGCAGCAGACGAGCGGAAACTTTCCTGTAACCTCCCAGGCGTGCCGCACGTCCTGCCGGAAGTGGGGGGCCCTCATACTCGGGTACCCAGACGGTCCAAGTACCCAAATAGTAGGGTTTTAGATCCCCAAATCCATGCCCTGAATGGTCTTTGGACCTTGAAACCCTACTATTTGGGTACTTGGACCCTTAGGGGTATACACCGGGTTATACACTAGAAGCTGCCCCCACCCTGTAATAGTGGTATAATAGGAATATAATAGGGCCCTAATATAATATTAATAAAATCCTTATGGTCACTATTACAGGGTGGGGGCAGCTTCTAAGGTATACACCGGTTCAAGAAAAAAGGGAGGGTTGATCTTTCGCAGGGTTTTGGAAGAAGCGCTTAACCTGAAACCCTGAATCCTAAACCCTGAGCCCTATACCCTGAACCCCAAACCTTGAACCCCAACCCCCAATCCCTAAACCGCAGCTCGATGAATACGTATTATCGGCGTTTTTGGACCCTACTTGGAGGGTCGGGGGACTTAGTAACTGGTTATTTTTAAGGACTTATAAGTACAATAACCCCAATTAGAGTCCCTCTTAGGGTACTTATAAGTCTACTTACCACCTACTTACTAAGTCCCTAAAACCCCTAAACCCTATAGTACCCCTATAGAGCCCTTTAAAGGAGCCCTTAGAATCCCCTTTAAAGGAGCCCCCCTACTTACTAAGTCCCCCGACCCTCCAAGTACTCCAGGCTGGAAACCTCCAGGCTTCAGGGCGCTCCACATCCTTTAAGGGATCCCAGAAAGAGCTCCTTTAAAGGTATCCGTTAAGGCCTGGCCCTAGCGGTTTTTTTGCTTGGAGGGTCTTTAGGGGACTTAGTAAGTAGGTAGTATGTAGACTTACAGTAGAAGCCAGAAAGTTGGAACATCATTACCCTCATGCCCTTAAGGTAAAGTAGAAAGGGATCCTAGCACTAATCCTCCTAAAGTCATGTTCCAACTTTCTGGCTTCTACTGTACTATAGGGGCGAAATAAGTACCTACACTAGGGTTCCTTTGAAGGTAGGGTTTCGGGTCTAGGGTTTAGGGGTTTATTTGAGGGCTAGTAGAAAGGCCATTACGAGGATTTTAGTATAGGGGGCCGAAAAGCACATAAGCATAAGCATTTTATGGGGATATCCCTAGCTTCATTATAAGGGGATTTATATGGGATATCCCTACCCTTGTTTTTGATTATGTGCTTGTTGGGGCCCTATATAGGGGCCTAAATAATTACCAATACGGTTGATGACATAAATCCTGCATTACCCATAATCAGGAATATACCATAATTCCCATCGTTTAGGGTCTTTAAGGTAAAGCAGGATTTATATCATCAGCAGTATTGTTTTGGGGGTTCCTTCTTTTACGTGTAGTAGAATGGGCCCCAAAACCCTCTTCTAATTATGAAGGCCCGTATATTATCCCTTAGTAGCTGAGCTTATCAACTTTAAACGTTTTGGGATAATGAAGCCCTCTTAAGACTGAAAGTTTAAGCTTTTTTGGGCTAATGAACTCCGCAACTAGGATCCTGTCTAGGATCTCATGCGGCAGACAAGCCCTGGAGCCTGGCGTTGCTGGGAAGGTCCTTAGGGTTCGGTGTTCCATAAAGCCCATGCGTTCCTACTCAATAGGGCTCCTTAAAGGGAGCTATAGTGTTCTTTAAAGGGATCTATAGGGTTTAGGGTTTAGGGTACTACTTGGAGGATCATGGGACTTAGGAAGTAAGGTTGTAAGTACCCTAATAGGAGTTCGAAGTACAGTTCCCTTATCTAGCACCCTAGTTACTAAGTCCCATGATCCTCCAAGTAGACCCTAAACCCAAAGTCCCTATAGACCCCTTGTAGTTCTAGAACCCTTTAAAAGGAGCCCCGTTAGGAACCCTTTAAACCTTCAGAATCCTAAACCCTAATTCCTAAACCTAAACCCCCAATAGATCCCCTTATAGAACCCTTTAAAAGGATCCCCTGTAGGAACCCTTTAAGGAACCCTAAAGCCCGTGATCCTCCAAGCAGACAGACAGCAATTCCACACCTCAGTTCGCGAGGTCCTAGGCACCGGTACGGGAACCATGGGAGGAAGCCGGGTTTAGGGTTTAGGGTTTAGGGTTTAGGGTTTAGGGTTTAGGGTTTAGGGTTTACCTGGACCCTAAGGAACCTGCCTTTTTAGGGATGATTTCTGTATATAAGTTCTGAAAAAGGTAGGTTACCTGGTGTTAAGGTAGGGTTTAGGTGGGAGGACAAGACCTGGCACGGATGGCCGGGGTCGAGAACGAGCAGGCGCTGGCCAAGCTGCTCGTAGCAAAGGAACGCAGACAATTTGCTTCAAAGGTCCCTTTGATCTTCGCATGGGCACTTCGGGAAAAGCGGAAAGGGGCCGCGGCACTCAGTCCTCGCAGGCATCGCGACGGAAATGATTTCAAAACGGGTCACTTCCCCCCGACCCAATTTCAAATCATGAAAGTTCGTGCCTCCTTCGGGGAAGCGTACAATGACGAGGACCGGCCGATGGTGCAGAAGGTCACCCGCCTGGCAAATGAGAAGAGGGATGCTGCCGTGCTGCCCGTCAAGAATGTCTGGTCGGACTTGATCTGCTCGGACATCGGGACTCTCTTCGACCATGGCGGTGTCTTCGCGGACTACGTCACACTGGCTGCGATCGCGGAGAGGAACAAAATACCGAGGGGGGGACTCTACCATAGAACCCTATCAGTACTTTTTATACAGGGGATCCTAGTATCGAACCATGGCGTGCCCTTTAATGGTGTGACAACGGGGGGACCCGGTTATAGAACCCTACAGTACCCCTGCAGTATTATAGAACCCTATATTGCCCTCTTTTGAAGGGGCCAGGGACATTCTTATAGAACCCTTTAGCATCCTTTCAAAGGATTTTTTAAGAACCCATAAAGGAACCGGCACCCCAAACCGTAAACCCGAAACCCTAAACCCTTAACCCTAAACCCTACACTCTAAACGGCTCTAAAAACTTAAAGGAACCTTCTTCAAACCCAGCACCTGAGGCTCCTCCGCGATGTCCCCGGCGTCGTCGGCCATCGACCTCAAGGCGCATAGGGCGGAGCACATTTTGTTCTGTCAAAGGCCTTCTTCCAAGGGTGGTTGTGGGTGTACGGGGATGTTTGTAAGATTGTTTTGTTCTAAAGCCCTTCAAATCTGCTATATAAAGGTTTTACATAGGATTTTCTGTGGTATTTTCAGGATCAGTATTGGAGGCCTTGACAAGTACGGTGCAAGCCGGAATTTCGGTTTGGGAAATTTGGGGCTGAAAGGATCGGCGGACTTGGGCTGATTCTTGTTTTCGAGTTTCGTTGTATTAGAAGCACATCCACCACCCCTAGTCTAAGTCAGTCATGCCCCTAGACTGTCATGACCGTTTCGTGGGCTTCGCTCTGTCTGCGTGCAAGGGACTGTGGGGTGAAGGCGGTAAGGTTCAGCTATAAGGACTTAAGAGTTCAGGTTTACAGGTTTAGGGTTCAGAGTTTCTTCTTCCTTGGTTCCCGCCCTCGACACTGAGCTGCAAAACCAAAGAGAAAGACAACTCCCATAGACCTTGAACCCTGAAACCTAAACCCTCAACCCCAAACCCTACAGTAAAGCCTAAACCCTGAACCCTAAACGCGAAACCCGTCACCCTAAACAACTCCCACCGTGGCTAAACAAAAACCACGCCCACCAGGTCTCCGTCTTGACCAGCGGCTTTTGGCCAGGCCGTGTCAGCTTTGGAGGGGCAAAACTCTGTCGTTCCTTCAAAGTTTCAACTAACTACAGGGTTTTGGGGTTGAGGTTTGTTGTTTATGGGCTTGCCTTTTGGGCCTCATACAGGGGTAGGTGTTCTCAACCCGCGGGGTGTGAACCTGCAACGCTTTTCACAAAGTCGTGCGGGGAAAACTTTGACTCCTGGTCCTTGGGGCCTCAAGATGACCCACGGCGACGGCGACGCCTATTCTTTGTCATAGTTGGGTGACATTTTATGTGTGCTTCAACCCAATAAGGAACACAATACAAATATGCAGTATACATGTTTTGATTCTGTTCCAACCATGAACTAGTGTCGTGACGACGATGACGGAAGATGATGATGTTTGGCACGTTCGGCGTCGTAGTGCTCCGTCCTGATCCAGACTCACCCACTGAACCCGACACCCCCAAGCCCACAACCTAAATGCTCAAACTGAGAACCTAGACCCGCCCCATCAAGCAATTCAACACACAAGGCAAAGCAGCAGAAACATGAGTCCACAACCTCTGAAAGCCCACTCTCACAGTGCCCGTTCGGTTTGTAAAATGCAGCCTAAAGACTTCAGAACACTTCATACAACCAAAACTCTAAACTCAACCCACAACCCTAAATCTTGAACCTGAACCCTAAGCCCCAAGACCATAATCAGACCTTAGACCCTAAACTTCGCCCTGAAACTCGCGGCGTGCGAGGCCCCCCGGGACAACCTTGTGAGCTTCCACCAGAGGTCCAGGCATCACCTGGGGGCTGTCGGACTGAAAATGGACACCTGAACACTTGCTGGTTAACTGTTCTTGAGGGCTCCTTATCGCAATTCTGCGAAAACGCGGCCCGACACCTCATTCTGATAATTCAGGCCCCCCCCATAGTGCAATTTCGATTGATGTCTAAACCGTGTACCTCACACAACGGACTTCGAACCTCGACCCTGGTGGGCGTGTTACGGTGTGTTCGGCTTGAGGGTTTTTGCCCGTGTACTTGGGAGGATCATGGGACTTAGGGTTCCTTAAAGGGTTCCTTAAGGGGCTGCTTCAAAAGGGTCCTATAAGGGATCTATAGGGGTTTAGGGTTTAGGGTGTACTTGGAGGATCATGGGACTTAGTAACTAGGGTTATAAATATGATAGCTATACTTATACCTCCAATTAGGGTACTTATAACCTTACTTACTAAGTCCCATGATCCTCCAAGTAGTACCCTAAACCCTAAACCCTATAGATCCCTTTAAAGAACACTATAGCTCCCTTTAAGGAGCCCTTTAAGGAACCCTAAGTCCCATGATCCTGCAAGTCGGGGGCACTTAAAAGATGAGGGGGGTTAGCAAGGGCTCTCGAGTCCCGTAAGGGGTTCAAGCGTTTGGGGTTCTGTGCTTCACAAACAGCTCCCTAAACCCCAAGCACTAAACCCTAAATCAATCCTAAACCCTAGTCCGATAAACCCAAAACCCTGATCTGAAAAACCCAAAACCCTAAACCCCAAGCCTTTAAGCACGTACGACTCTACTCAGGGCTATGTTCCGGGGCTTGGGCTGCTTGAAAGCTGCTGTTGTGCTTCGACCGAGGATAGGTATAGAATCCCTAAGCCCTGAACCCTCAAGGCAGAAAAAGGTTGAGGGTTTAGGATTTGTGGCTTCGGTTGTGGATGGACTCTGTTTGGAGCTCAGGTTATATGTTCCACGTGTTGCGTTGGTTACAGGGTTTGGTTTTGTAGTGTTTTGCGCTTGAAATGGCAAATAGGTTTTGAGTCCTTGGAGCGGGGTTTCGAGTTTTGGACTTGGATTTACAGTAGAAGCCAGAAAGTTGAAACATCATCATCCTCATGCCCTTAGGGTGAAGCAGAGGGAATTCTAGCACTAATCATCCCAAATCAATGTTCCAACTTTCTGGGGCTCACCATAGGTTGAGAAGAGCTTCGGTTTCGGAGGTTAAACCCAGATCCCAAAGCCCAAACCCTGAGCCGTAGCTTACCATTGATATTGGAGGAGCTAAGGAGCCAGGGATGGTGATAATCCCTACTTATTAAGGAGCTAAAGAGCCAAGGGAACCCCAACACCACTGGTTAGGTAGACCCTACACCCAAACCCTGCGCCCTAAGGTTAACCAGTACCCTTTTGCCCTTTTTCTGTTTGGGTTTGATTGTTGACAGCCGAATGCTAGGAAAAGGATATCCTTATTATGAGGGGCTACAGGGAACCTAACAATAAGTGGATACTTGGATTTGGGATGGCAGCATTGAGCTAGTTTTTGGACCCCAAGCCCCAAACGTCCAAGTACCTACGTAATACTCATATAGCCTCCCGGTTATTCACCTACATAACTACCCTGGGCATCAAAATAGCCCAGATGCCTTATATAGTATGGTCTTTGGGCCCAAAAGCCTTAATATATGAGTCCTTAGATGCCTAGGGTACTATACTAAGCCCAAGCACCTCATTATTGGGTCCTTTGGACCCTCACAGCCTCAATGCCTCGTCAGGAGTGCTGCGGCCGTTTCGAGACGTTTTACCTAGCAAAGCACACTGGTCAGGGCCTTGGCAGTACAGTTTCATGTAAACTTAAACCCTAAGCCCTAAACCCTAAGTCACACAGTCCTATACCCTACGTCCTAAACCGTAAACCCCCCTAAACCGTGGACGGTTCAGAGTTGTTACCGTTCCCAGAGAATCGAAAGCTTCTCAGTAAAGGGGTCTTCAATAAATCAGCACGGGAAACCCCACGTAGCTAGGAGGATGATGCGTTAAATAGATTAAGAAGCCGTCCAAAGATTTTTTTCTTGAACCATAAGCTTTAAAATCGAATAAGAAGCTGTATAAAGAGTTTTCTGTAAAACATAAGAAGCTCCTAAACTCTAAACCCTAAACCCTTTCAAAGAGCAGTGCAAGTGCTCAGGCGTCCAGGGAGTCTCGGGTTAACCCGCCCTCAAACGAATGCGGAGCCCAAGAACGCGCAGCCTTCTTTTTCAGTTTAGGGTTTCGGATGGTTTTGTGTTGCTAGGGCTTAGGGGTTTAGGGTTTTGAGGGTTTGTGGTTTTTAGGATTTCGGGTTCATGCTGGTTTAGGGTTTGGGGGGGGCTTAGGGTTTAGGGTTTAAAGGAGAGTAGTTTCTAGTTTTCCCGAAGCCCGAGGCCTTGACCCTAAACCCTCCTAAAGCCCTGAGCCCTAAACCCTAAACTATGCCTGGACCCTAAGGAACCTACCTTTTTAGGGTTCCCTAATATGTGGACTTTATATAAGTCCTTGAAAAGGTAGGTTACTTGGGGTTAAGGCAAGCCCTAAACCATTGAACCTACACCATTGAGCCTTGAAGCATCTTGGGCATCTTGGGCGGGCCCTATGGTGGACCGGATCCAGTTCTCGTGAACTTGTTCCGGCATTTAGCAGGAGGGCTCGGCCTTCTCCCTTAGCCCATGGAGCCGTACCAGTGCAAAGAAGCGGAAGGAATGCCTCTGAACCTTTAAACCCTCAACGTTACAGCTTACAGCAAAGGCAAGTCTTGAACTTTCAGCTCAACATAGGGTTCGAAGATGTCGTAATACCATTCCTGAGGTCTTCCTAGTTCCAAAGATCCTATAACGTACCTCGAGCCTCGTTCTAACTTTTGAGGCTGCTGTATTACACGCATCAATCCGAACCTAAATCTGCCAGCCTCGTGACCTTCGCGACATTCCGAAGTCCTCAAACCCAGCTCCCCAAATCTTGAAGCCTAGGGGGTTTTGAGGAAGTAGCCAGCGCTTCAAGGCTAAAGCCACAAAAGAAGCACGAACCTGTTCCCAGAAAAACACCCTAAACCCCCTTAGCCCTAAAACCCGCTGAGCCCTGAACCCTGAGTTTAGGGTGTTCAACCCTAAACTAAACCCAAAGCCGTAACCCGTCGCACAGGGCGCCGACTTTCCTGGCAGCCGAACCACGGCTGGGCCGACCTCAAGGCCCGCATCAAGGGTACCGGTTTTATAGGATTGCGGTTTAGGACTTCTTTGTTATAGTTGGGTAACAGTTTACATGTTTATGGGTACTTAAACCCAAAAATGGAATAGACAAGTGTGTGTTACATCCGATTCCAACCATGAACTAGACTTAAGGGCCAGGGTGTAGGGGTTAGGGTTTACGATTCAGGATTCAAGAGTAACGGTTGAGTATACGAGGGTTTTTTGCAAGGCTTTCTAGGGATGTTGAGCAAGTGTTGTATAAGGGCTGTATGCATTTAACAAAGGTGCTACAAGGGTGTTTGTCGTTCAATGCAAGCTTTGGATATGGGCCTCAGTGACACCTCGGAACCACGGGTTGGCGTTTTCGGCACATCGAAGTTGCAGAAGATGACGTGCCTCCCGTGTTTGATCTTATTTCGATGTGAGATCGTGGGCAGTCAGTCGGAATTAATGCCACTCCGTTGCATGGACTTGTTGGAGAACTTTTTAGGGTCTAGGCTTAGCCCGAGACGGCATGGCTAATGCACTCAGTAGTTGCATCGTCTTCTTGCGTAAAACCTGCACTGAAAATGAGGCAAGATACTGTTCCCTTGACATAACCCTACATAGCGACTATCCGCGTGTACCTAATTATAGGGTCCTTTGGACCCTTGGGGTAAGCACTTCTTGCAATTTCTACAACCCTTTAAATCTGTGTCGACCCTGACCACCTACCCCCTTGCGGGCAGCTGTATGAACCCCAGGCACCTGTCCCTACACACTTCCTTGACCCCCATGCTCACACGAAGCCGGGTTAATACTAGCAGGTTCTACCCTAAAGCGTGAGCCCTAAACCCTGAACCCTAAACCCTAAACCCTGAACCCCAAAACCCTAAACTCTGAACCCCAAAACCCTAAACTCCTGAACTCTCTGCATCTGTGGCTCCTTCTGGGAGTTCGCGAGTGTATGTATCTGGATTTCCCAAGGCCGTGCTTTTCCCTTAAACCCTTGGCCCTTGACCCTCTAGGGCTCCTTTAAGCATTGCGTTAAGGATTCCTTCCAGGCTTCCTTTGAAGGGTTCCTTTTCAGGTCTTATTTGGATTCCTTCAAGGTTTCCTTCTAAAGGGTTCCTTTAAATGCCTTATTTTGACCAAGATCCTGAGCCAGTTCGCCTGCTCGGTGCGGTACACTCCAAACCCTAACACCCCCTCTAGGACCCAGAGTAGGCCCTTATTCCCTTTTTGAGGGTTTCGGTTCCCTTATAACCCCCTTTAAACCAAAAAGGGCACCCTTTTTGTTCCTATGTTACTCTTAGGTCTAGCCCTTTAACGCCCAAGATCCTAAGAAGGGGAAAAAGGTCGTAGGAGTCCGGGAGGGTGAAGGTCTCAGGTAGAGTGGGGTAGGGTCTACTTGGAGGATCATGGGACTTAGTAAGTAAGGTTATAAGTACTCTAATTGGAGTTATAAGTATAGTTACCGTATTTATAACCCTAGTTACTAAGTCCCATGATCCTCCAAGTAGGGTTCGAAGGTCTAGAGTTTAAGGTCCCAGGGTTTGTGATCTAGGCTTTACAGTTCTGCGGGACCGACGCTCAATGCGAGGCACACATGCCAAAGTCCAAGCACGAGATCAATGCAGGGGGACCCGGATCTGGTATGGAGGTCTGAGCAATAACACCCCGCTTAATAACTTTACAGTCCTACTGGGCTAAACCCCACAGCCCCATTCTATAGACTAAGTCTCTAGCATAGGACACTGCAGAACCTTGCAGAAGCCAATAACCCTAAACCTACGCCCCTAAGCCCTGAAACATAAACCCATTAAGGCCATCCTATATCCCTGAACCCCTTAACCCTTAAATCCTGAAGCCGTTGTTGTAACAATTAAGGCCACTCTATAACCTTGAACCCCAAGCCCTAAACCCCTAAACCTTTATTGTAACAACCCTTAAACCCTAAGCCCTAAACCCTAAACCCTAAAACTCTAAGCCCTAAACCCTAAACCCTAAAACCCTAAGCCCTAAGCCCTAAACCCTAAACCCTAAAACCCTAAGCCCTAAACCCTAAACCCTAAAACTCTAAGCCCTAAGGCCCACACACCGTTGTTGTAACAAGCAAGGCCACCCAGGAGCCCTGCTCCCTAAAACCCTTAAGCCCCTAAGGGTTTAGGGTTTAGGGTTTAGGGTTTCGCGCTTTTTCACGGAAGTTGTTTGGTTTCCGGGGACGGGTAAGCCGTCAGTGCTTGTGTGGGTCTTGCGGTGGACGGCGTGCTTCCAGCGAAGGCTGCTCTTCGGCCGGCTTCTGGCGGCCCGATTCCTTTTTCCCACCCCGCGCCGTTCATGAGGCGGCGCAACCACCCAAACCTACTCCTTTTAGGGTTTAGGGCCCACACTCATTTTCCAGGGCTTTGGCAACTTCAAGGCTAGATTCTGTCCGGACGAAGCCATCAAAAGCCCAGAATCCGTCCGGGAGGACCACCGCAAAGCTCAGAATTTGACAACTGTCTCGGCGATTTTGCTCCTGACACGCCGAATTCTCGTGACATTCCTCATTTTTTGTCAAATCAAAGCCGTTCCAAATGGACAACACGACTAAAATTGCTCCCCAAAGCCCCGGTCCTCCAGAAGCTCCGGGTTAGGGTTTGTGGTATTATCTATGTTCTATTGTAGTATTGGCGTACGCCAGGGACAGGCCTGTCCCAAAAGAGAACAGGTTCACGCTTGTGGTGCCACGTACGTGCTAGTTGTATTGTTCCGTGGAAGGCATGAAGCCCGGGAAAGGAGCGAGTCGCAAAAGTAGCGAGGGGCGCTTAGGCCGGAGTTTAGGGTTTAGGGTTTAAGGTTTAGGGTTTGGGCTAAACCCTAAAACCCTAAAGCCCTAAGCCCCTAAGGCTTAAACTCCGAACCCTGAGCCCTGAAAACCCTTAAACCGGTGTTGTAACAATAAAGCGCCCTGAGCCCTAAAACCCCCAAGCCCCTGAACCCTTAAACCGGTGTTGCAATGACAAAAGCCACCCTATTCTATAGTCTCCCTAGTTTTCTTTCTATTTTTTGTTCATATCAAAACCAAGAGAATATGAAACATGTTATTTTATCATGGTTCTAAGGGGGGTATAGTATTATCTCAACCTCCAGAGTACTTGTGACCGAGTGTGAACTCCAAACCCCTAATTAAGGCGTTTTGGAAGATCTTGGCCCTTAACGCTGAAACTTATCGAAAAACCCTATGAACTTGCGGTTTGGGTTCGGGGTTCAGGGTTCAGATTCAGGGTTTGGGGCTTGGGGCTGGGGTTTCGGGTTTAGGGGTTGGGAGTGGGTGTGGTACAGAGTTTGGGTATAGGGCTTTAGGCTTCGGGGCTTTGGGTTTAGGGCAGGCCTAGGGTTCAAAGAGTTTAGCTTCGGGGCGCAGCCTTTGCGGCTTGGGCTTTACTTGAAAATACGTCGAAACAAGTCTTATTGTATTTTTTGGGTTACTACAAACCCTACGAGACAGCTAGATCTATGATTTTTGCCAGGGTCCCAAGTTCAGCACAGTTGAAGGTTTACCACACTCTAAACCTTGAGCGCGTGCTCGTCGGGCTCGGGGTTTGGATGACTTAGGTTTCGTGGAAGAGGAGTTGCTGCAATTGTGCATAATGCTGTGATCAGCATTTCGGCCTGACTAACCCTAAACCCTAAACCCTAAACCACGCGCTTGTCGTCGCAGCGCCAGCTGCATTTTGCTGTCGACCTTGCATACTCTTCGCGAATCCCACTGCCTCAGGAATCTCCGGATGACAATTTGCCGGTTCCGAGAACCCCGTCGCTGCTCCGTGCAGCAAGTCGACTTTACACGAGCCGACAGCACGGATCGTCGAGCACGAGTTGTTCAAACTGCTCTACCTGAAGCATCTTGAAGCTGTTGTTGAAGTTCACATGCGTGTGTTTCTTGCAACTCGCATGTATACAGCAGCATGTCTTCATGTCAACTTCAGTCTGTAGACTTGTTGCGCAGCTGATAACGCTGTGGCAAGACAGAAGTGTCCTCAATGCGGAAAGTTGGGTGCTGGGCGTCGTACGTGTGCCAAGTCGAGTACAGCACACCCATGGAAGCCACCATAAGAAATGCATCTGGTGGTACGAAGATTGCTTCCAGTGGCAGCAAGACGACAACTAGGGTTGAGGGTGTGCAGCATCTCGAATGATACCGAAATGCGGGAATTCTTCTGGGAACCCTAATTGAAAGTTGAGTAGTTGCAGACTGTGTTGTGAAGATGCCACATCAACACGCCTGCAAGCTTGTACTGTGTGTTTTACTTTATAATTGAAGCCTGCAAACTATTCGGAGAAGTATTGTGGCTATTGCCGCTCATGGCATTCACAACCCTTCAAGGTACAGTCCTTAATCCTTCATAGAACCCTCATGGCCTTATAGATCCCTTTAAGGAATACGGACGAGAAGAGGATGCTGATTGCAGAGGATGATGGTGACGGCTGCTGGAGATGTTGCTCATGGTGATGTGGCCAAACCGCACCCAGACAACATGAACCCATGAAATTAGCAGAGCCAATGCTTGCCGTGGAAGTTCCTTGGCCAGTAGTGACATCCGGTCGTGACGTTCCGTAAGCAGGAACGTCAGGATCATTAGAGCACATGCGATCATGAGCATAATGGCCTGCTCACAGGAGCAGTAGTCAGTAGGCTCATAACCAGGACGACGATCATGGATACAGAAGCCAAACATAGACACGAGCGCACGAGCTTTGAACAGAGTCTTTGCCCACAGGAGGGGTCCTGACAAGTGATTTATTGTTAAACCCTAAACCCTAAATCTCAAGCCCTATACCCTAAACGCCAAGCCCTAAATCCCAAAGGCTTTGTACCCTAAACGTCAAACCCTAAACCCCAGCCCCTAAACCCTAAGCCCTGAGAGCTCTTTAAAGGAACCCTAAACCCTAGATCCCTAGACCCAAAGCTTGCAGAGTCCTTTAAAGGAACCCTAAACCAAATCCCTAAACCCAAAGCCCCAAGAGCCATTTAAAGGAACCCTATCCCCTAAATCCCTAAACCCCTAAAGCGAGGGGCAGGAGTGAGAAAGGCGCAGAGCCTCAGTGTTAAGATTGATCCTGGGAGGCTCTTCTCTAGGGTTTAGGTTTAGCGATTTAGGGGTTTAAGGTTCAAGGTTTTGGGTTTTACGGTTTAGGGGTTAGGGTTTCGGGGTTTTAGGGGTTTAAGGGTTTAGTTTTGGGGGTTTAGGGGTTGAGGGGTTCAAGGTTTAGGGCAAATTGTTTAGGGGTTTAGTGTTTGCAGCCTGAAGCAGTATCTTTTTAAATGTGGGTTCCTTGAAATAGTTGCTCAGATATGGGGCCCTGGATATTCATTCCCCGATTTCCAAAACCCCAAACAACTTGTCGGAGCCCAAAATCCTTTGACACGCGAGCAGTGATATGGGAGTTTCCGAAAATGGGGGATCCTAATCCTAGTACCCCATTACAAGGACCCGCAAAAAAGGTACCTTTAGTTATCGGAAACTCCCATATCGGAGGTTTCCACCTACCAGATGTGCATTCTCATGCTCTTCAACCAACATGCAGCCCTGACGTACCAGGACTGTCCGTTTTGACGTGTTCGATCAGTTAGGGACCCAAAAAGCAGATAAGCATAAGAATTTTATGGGGACATCCCTACCTTATTGGGCTACCTTTTAAAGGGGTGTATATGGGATATCCCTCTCCATATTTTTGCTTCTGTGCTTTTTGGGGGCCCTAGATTCGCTGAGGGTTTGGTGCTTAGGGCCTCGGGCGTCTTATAGAGCTTGATTCTTGCAGGTCTGGTGGTCAAAGGGGAAAAGGAGGGACCCTTAGTGGGGACCCCTACCCTATAATGGGATATATAATGGGTATATACTATATAGCTATATTAAGGGTATATACCTAGGGGTCCTTATTAAGGGTCCCTCCTTTTCCCCTAAACCCCCTAAACCCCCTAAACCCCCAAACCCCTAAACCCTAAACCCTATACCCTCATAGAATCCCTATAGATCCCTTTAAAGGGTCCTTATTCAGGGTCCCTCCTTTTCCCCTTGGATTGATTCTTGCAGGTCCGGTGGGGTCGGGTCGCCGATTTCGCATTCAAGGGTCGGGTGGACAACCTGCGACATTCCCACATGTTTAGGGTTTAGGGTTTAGGGTTTAGGGTTTTGCTGGCGAAAAGATTGGATTTACTGAGTTGGTTTATTAAGCCCACCTTTCTGAGGTTCCCTTTTATCATGTGTCTAAGTCCCTCAAGTGGTAGGTGGATAGTTCTCGAAAGTGGGGGTCCCTCTTTATGTCCCCAAACTAGTGCGGCACGAGCACGCTAAAAGGGACTCAGCTGAGAACTAGCCAGGTTTCTCAGGGCCCAGGTACGGTGTAGAAGGATTGTTGAGTTCTCCCAGAGGCTCCACATAAACTACCATTGCGGAATTAGGTCCCCAAACCCTAAACCCGGCCTAGTTCCGTCACGGTGCTCTTGGGCTGAGAGTTGAGGGGTCTCGGGTTTAGGGGTTTAGGGGTTTAGGGGTTTTAGGGGTTTAGGGTTTAGGGGTTTAGGGGTGTAGGGGTGTAGGGGTTTAGGGGTTTGGGGGTTTTAGGGGTTTTAGGGTTTGGGGGTTTAGGGGTCTGGACCCTTCGAACCAGCAGCAGCGGCTGATGACGACGGAGGAAGCGAGCCCAAAGACTGGTGGGACTGTTGATGATATAAATCCTAGGGTCCAATTAAAGGGAGCTATAAGGGTACCTTTAAGTTCCTTTAAGGGATCTAGTATGGTTCTAGGGTTTGGGGATATACATACTGCATTGCCTTAAGGACCCTAAACTATGGGAATTATGGTACATTCCTTATTATGGGTAATGCAGGATGTATATCATCTACCGAAGTACCCCGTATTATGGGGTTTAAGGTTTAGGGTGTTCAAACATCTCTCTGTTTTCGGACTTTGGGTCCCTTTCGGGAATCAAAAGCCATAAATAAGGACTACTTGGGAGTTTCCGAAAATAGGGGACCCTAATGTAGTACTTGGAAGGGCAGGGGACTTAGTAAGTAGGTTATAAGTAGGGTTATAATTGGGGTAGCTCTATTTAGGGTACTTATAACTCTACTTATAACCTACTTACTAAGTCCCCTGCCCTTCCAAGTAAACCCTAAACCCTAAGCCAAAGCCCTGAAGACCCTAGAAGAAACCCTAAGCGCCAAACCCCGAAAACCTAAACCTTGAACCCCTGAAGGATATTCAGATGCGAACTCTAAGCCCTAAGCCCTAAAACCTAAACTCTAAACACCAAAGACCTCGCCTCAAATCGAGGCTTCTGGATCTGCAGTCGAACAGGGACCTTTAAAAGCGCCCACAGCCAAAACACCTAGACCGTAGACTCTAAACCCCTGAAGGATATTCAGATGCGAACGAACATCCCGCTCGAAGAGCTGAAGCGCCAGTTCATGAGTCTCTACGTTAACCCCAAGGTCGAACTTGCCTTGTTCTGTGGGGGGCGGGGGCGGGGATAGGGGGGAGGGTGGCCGAAACCCTAAACCCTAAAACTCTAAACCCTAAAACCCAAAACCCCAAAACCCTAAACCCTAAACCCCAAACATCCCTAAACCCTAAACCCTAAACCCTAAAGCCCGTTGAGGGTTCAGGATGGCATTTCTGGTTTCCCTTTCTGCTCTCTAGGATGCCCAGTAGTACCCTTATTCCCTTTTTGTAGTCCTAGGTTCCTTATGAAGTTACCCAATACCAAAAAGAGAGGCCTTTTTATTCTTAGGTTACTGGGTATCCTAGTTTTGTTGACGCTGTTTTCTGAGCATTGTGCTTACTACTCTGATGGCGATCATGTACGGTTGTTGTAATCATCATCGTTGCTGCTGCTACCATTGCTAGTATGTTTTTCGTTGTTGCTACGTGCTATTTGGCTTGCGGCGTTCGGGGCTTAGGGATGTGGAGCTTCGCTGATTGCCTCTACCTACAGGGTTTCTAGCACCTCTCTCGTTGAGCGTTTGCAAGGGGTTGAGTGGTCTTGAATCTTGCGCGAGCTTTCTAGTGTAAACTACCATGACCTATTTGTTTGTAGCTAGGATCTAGAGTAGGCCCTTATTCTCTTTTTTTGGGGTTCAGGTTCCGTTATAAGCCCCTTTAAACCAAAAAGGGCACCCTTTTTGTTCCTAGGTCACTCTTGGGTCGAGGTAGGGTCTTATCATAGGCCCCAATGACACTCTACCCCCGAAGCCCCGACCCCCAAATCTTAAACCCTAAACCCTGGCCTTTTTGCTCCCTTTATAAGTGGAGCCTTGAAAGGAACCCCAAGTCTCAAACCCAGATAGGGCGAAGATTTTGATGATCCTTGTCAGAAGGGTGAGAACTCCTAACAAGCCAAAACCTAAATCCTAAACCCTGCTTGGAGGATCATGGGACTTAGCAAGTAAGGCTATAAGTACCCTAAATGGAGTTATAAGTATTTTTACCTTATTAGTAACCCGAATTACTAAGTCCCATGATCCTCCAAGTAGACCCTGAACCCTAAACCCCTGTAGATCCCTTATAGAAGGAGCCCCTTAAGGAACCTTTTAAGGAACCCTAAGTCCCATGATCCTCCAAGAAAAACGCTAAACCCCACACCCAACCACAGGCGAAGATCTTAACCCCTACACCCCGAACCCTAAGCCCTAAACCTCAAGCCCTTAAAGCCCCAAAAGGCGAATAGCTACCCCCCAAAAACGATGGACCCTAAACCCCAAACCCGAAACCTCTTAACGCTTAACCCCTAAACCTCAAGCCTCTTAACCCCTAAACCCTAAACCTCTTAACCCCTAGACCTTAAACCCTTAACCTCTAGACCTTAAACCCTTAACCTCTATGCCCTAAACCCCTAAAAAGTCGAAGATCTTGATATGCCTTGAAACTCTCCTTTAAAGCGACCGAAAAGGCGAACTTGATATACCCTGGAACTATCCTTTAAAGCGATCCCAAGAAGGCGAAGACATTAGCCCCTAAAGCCCTAAACCCTAAACCTTAACGCCGTCATAAAGCGAAGATCTTCACCCTGAAACCCCTAGTTAACCCCCCCCCCCCCACCGCCCCAAAGAAAGGCGAAGATCTTGATGAGACTGGGGCCCGAGAAGGACAAAAAGGAGCCCGAGGATTCCGACCAGCCCGGCGCTCGGCCTTTGAGGGGCTCTTAGGGTCCCCTGAAAGGGTTTAGGGTTTAGGGTTTAGGGGGTTCCTTTAAGGGGCTCTTAGGGTCTAGGGTTTAGGTCTCCTTTAAGGGGGCTCTTAGGGGCTTTGGGGTTATAGGTCTCCTTTAAAGAGCTCTTAGGGTTTAGGGGTTTAGGGTTTAGGACTCTTAGGGTTTAAGGGTTTAGGGTTCCTTTAGGGGGTTCTAGGGTTCCTGTAAAGGGCCTAGGGTCCCCTTAAAGGGGTAAGGGGCTCTCAGGGTCTAGGGTGTAGGGTTTAGGGTATCATGGGACTTAGGGTTCCTTGAAGGGGCTCTTAGGGGCCTTGGGGGGTATATTACAGGGTTCTTAGGGTTTAAGGGTTTAGGATTCTTGGGGTTTAGGGTTTGGGTTTAGGGTTCCTTTAAAGGGCTCTTAGGGTCCCCTTAAAGGGCTAGTTTCAGGGGTTCCTTCAAGGGGCTCCTAGGGTTTCGGGTTTAGGGCCCCTGAGAGGGCTAGTTTAAAGGGTTCCTTTAAAGGGCTCTTAGGGTTCAGGGCTTTATGCTTTCAATGCTTTGGGCCCACAAAAACCATACCTAAAAAAAAAAAAACATACTTAGTGAGTTTTTTTGGCTATTTTGGGCGATGCAGGCAGGTCGGGAGGCAACACACCCATGCATGTCAGTGGCCACGGTGCTTGTGGCAGAATCAGAGCCGGACTTCGAGACGGCCATTTCCAAGGAGCTGGGCTCCATCCACAACATCAGCAACCTCCTCTTGGAGTCGGTTCGCGTATGGCACAAGGTCGGGCTTGGAACGGCATTTGCCCCATTTGACGTGGCGTTTTGGACCCAGCACCGGTCGGACGAGGCATTGCAGCTCGGCTCCTTTTTTTCGGCATTAGCACCTTGCCGTTTGCGAAAGGTGCCCCAAACACACCTTCCGGACAAAACAGGACACTTGGATAAACCCATACCTCTAATTAAAAAAAAATCCTTAAACCCTTAACCCTGAAATTCCCTAAACCCTGAACCCTAACCGTAAACCCTCTAAACCCTTATAATCTCATCCCTCCGAATTCGTAAACAGGTCCCCACCACCCCCCACCCACACCCAAACAGAAACTCGAAGTGCATGGGTTCTATGATGCCCAAACCCCAAGCCCTAGAGCTCTACTTTCAATCTACTGTTTAACAACCTAAACCCCGAGTTGGGCTTATACTCCAAACCTTGGTATATCCCGTGGTATATGGCCCCCCCAAATTTTGTTTTGTGTTTGAATATTCCACAACCCTCGCAAAAGGGACTTCAACCTAGACAAACCCCCAGCTGCAACCGAAAAGGCAGTCGTTCGTTTTGGGCGTAGGGCATTGGGTGTTTGGTTTTAGGCCTCATGGTTGCCTGCTGAGTCAGATGAGGAACTGTTGGGTAGGCAGGAAAGTTTGAATCAGTTAGAAGTTCTTGAAGCCTTAAACTAAACCCGAGATGCCTGGCTCTTGAGAAACCCTGCGCCCTAAATCCATAGACCGAAAAACCTCTACACCCTCACCCCTGAAACCCTACACCCCGAAACTGAACGGGCGAGCTTTCGCCAGGAAGTTTGCTTGACTGGGTCAGGATACTTGGAGGGTCGGGGGACTGAGTAAGTCGGTAGTAAGTGACTGATAAGTACCCTAAAAGGGACCCTAATTGGGGTTATGGTACCTATAACTCCCTAAAATAACCAGTTACTAAGTCCCCGGTACGCGATGAGGCAACAAGGCCCGCAGGATTGATCAGGCAAGGATGGCTGCAAGGAGAAAATCCTTGTCTAAGGCCTGGGTCGGAGCATGAGTTGAGCCGGCTTTCCCCATCGTCAGGAAGCAAGCTCTTAACCCTAAACCCGAAACCCTAATTACCCCTGCGTAAACCCTAAACGCTAAACCCCAATTAACCCTAAATCCTAAACCCCAATTAACCCTAAACCCTAAACCCCAATTAACCCTAAAGCCTAAACCCCAATTAACCCTAAAGCCTAAACCCCAATTAACCCTAAAGCCTGAACCCCAATTAACCCTAAACCCTAAACCCCAATTAACCCTAAATCCTAAACCCCAATTAACCCTAAACCCTAAACCCTAAACCCTAAACGCTAAACCCCAATTAACCCTAAATCCTAAACCCCAATTAACCCTAAACCCTAAACCCGAAATCCTAAACCTGCAGGTTCCCGAAGCCCTGAAGCCCGAAGCCCCGAAAGCCCCTGGTCTCCTGAGCTGCTATAAATTTATAACCCCCGAAACCCCAAACCCCAAACCCCAAACCCTAAACCAAACCCTAAACCGAGAAAGCCACGAAAACCCTAAACCCTAATCCCCAAACCCCAAACCGGGCTCAAGCTTTCTGCGAAGGTTCGCGATCAACACCCAGTTCGAAAGCAAGCTGCTGCGGATCAAGGCCTCCATGGCCTGGTCTCACCGGTTTTTTGAGGGGGTTTCTTAGGGGTGCTTAGACTTAGAAATAACTTTTATTTTTTGTTATTATAATCCCTAAGAAACAGCTAAAATTCTAATTTTTGCTAGGGTTCTAAGTTCAGTATAGTTTTCTTTCAAGGGCTCCTTTAAAGGGTTCCTTTAAGGGATCCCAGAAAGAGCTCCTTTAAAGGTTTCCGTTAAGGCCTGGCCCTAGCGGTTTTTTGCTTGGAGGGTCTTTAGGGGACTTAGTAAGTAGGTAGTATGTAGACTTACAGTAGAAGCCAGAAAGTTGGAACATCATTATCCTCATGCCCTTAAGTTAAAGTTTAAGGAACCCTAGCACTAATCCTCCTAAATCCATGTTCCAACTTTCTGGTTTCTGGTATATAAGTACCTAAAAGGGGCCGTAATTGGGGTTATGGTATTCATAAGTCCTTAAAATAACCAGCTACTAAGTCCCCCGACCCTCCAAGTGAGGGGTTTCTTTAAAGGGCTCCTTTAAAGGGCTCCTTTAAGGGATCCCTCAAAGAGCTCCGTTAAAGGGATCCTTTAAGGGATTCCTTAAAGGGCTCCTTTTGAGGGTTCTTTTTAAGGGCTGCTCTTCAGGATTTAAGTGTTCCTTTGAGGTTTCTGTAAGGGCTCCTTTCAGGGTTCATTTAAGGGTTTCTTCAAGGATTCCTTTAAGGGTTCCTGGAAGTACTCCTTAAGGGTTCCTTCAAGGCTTCATTGAAGGGCTCCTTTAAGGGTTCCTTTAACGGCTCCTCTAAGGGTTCCTTTAAGAGTTGTTTACAGGGATCCTTGAAGGGTTCCTGAAAGGGTTCCTTTCAGTGGCCTCTATGGGTTTCGTTACTTGGAGGATCATGGGATTTAGTAAGTAAGGTTATAAGTATATACCCCAACTGGAGTTCTAAGTATAGTTACCTTAGTTCTACCCCTAGCTACAAAGTCCCATGATCCTCCAAGTAAGGGGGTTCCATACTTGGAAGGGCAGGGGACTTAGTAAGTAGGTTATAAGTAGAGTTATAAGTACCCTAAATAGAGTTACCGCAGTTATATCCCTACTTATAACCTACTTACTAAGTCCCCTGCCCTTCCAAGTAAGGCTTGGTTCGTTCACGGTTTTTTTAAAGGGTTCCTTTTGGAGTTTATGGTGTGGGGCTCGGGGTTCAAAAGTTTAGTTTAGGGTTTAGGGTTTAGGGTTTAGGGTTTAGGGTTTAGGGTTCAGGGTTTAGGGTTTAGGGTTTAGGGTTCAGGGTTTAGGGTTTAGGGCGTCTCGCCGCGCAGCGGCAGTATTTTCTATGTAGGATGGCGCCCCAACACTCCCAGGGGTGTGGGGGGGCGGCATATCGACGTCTAGCGTTCGAATGCGATTCCACCACCAAACAATAATTACACATGCTACCACCCAAAACATTGCCTTTTAGGGTTTAGCGCTTACGCCCTCAATTCCCACCTGCCCCTGGTTTGGCGTTGGGGCCAGGAAGGACGACCACAAAACACAGGGCCTCAGGGGCCCAGGGCAGGCCGGCCACGCAACACGCGGATAGGGTGAGGAAAGGGCAGAAAAGACGCCAGGTCTCCCCCTAGGACCAGCTCGGGGGCCCCGCTGGGCCGGCCTCAGGGGCCGTTTCTGAGGGGAGCCAACAGGAAAACACTACCAAGGGATTTGGTCGTCGGGTTTAGGGTATTCCAATCTCTTGAGATTCGAGGGTATTCCCTCTGCGAATATGGGCGCCACGCAAGGGGCCTAATGGCTTGGCTCAGCCCTAGGGGCCGAATTCGACCACTCTCCGATGGCTCCACCCATTGTCCATCCAGAGTTGGTGTCAATCACTGCCGGGTTTCCTTCTAGGTCCAGGCACCCTAAGAAAAAGGGTGGGTACGGCCTAAGCAGGCCTGGGTGGGAATTTAGGGTTTAGGGTTTAGGGTTTAGGGTTTAGGGTTCAATGTTTCAGGGATCAGGGTTTAGGATTCACGGCTTAGCGTGGATTTGGGCAATGTAGGGGTTGATATTGTAGGGTTTCAGGATTAGGGTTCAGGTTTAGGGTTTAGGGCTTTGGGGTTCAGGGTCTGGGGGATCTGCCAAAACTCCGATCTTTGTGTTCAGCTGCCTTGGGCAGTTTCTGATGCACGCCTTAAGGTTTTGGGATCAGAGTTTGCGGGTTCGGGGCTTCTCGATGGATATATGCTCGACTTTATGTGTGCATAGCAACATAATCATGATTTGACATATGCAGGATGAACGAAGAGATTGGCCACGGTATCGATGCTACTGTGAATGCAGGATCAATTTTTGTTTTGGTTGGCTGTAGTGGTGGCAGTCGTCGTCGTAAGTAAGCGCGGGAGAGTCGGAGAGTAGGCTGCTCCCGCTACCACTACTGCTACTGCACCTACTACAAGTAGCGCTACGACGACGACTACTATTTCCACCACTGTAACGACGACGAGTATGACTACTGCTGCTGATGGTGCTAAACTGCTAAACCTCAGCCGAGACCTCACAATGCGAAGATCTAGACTAACTTTTTTCGCCGAGGGGCGTGCCTGTTGTATGCCCCCACAAAACCCTAGACTCGAAGCCATCAACCCTGGACTTAACAAAATTCTGAGCCCTCAGCACAATACTCAAGGCCCTAGACCCCCTTTCCCAAAGCCCACACTAATACACCCTAGACCCTTATAGTAGCCCTACAAAGGGGCCCTTATAGTACCCCTAAACCCAACCCCAACGCACAGACCCCAAAGCCATCGTTGCAGGTGCTCTTAGTTCAACTGAAGTCCGCCAACTCGGACGGCTCGGGAACGCGCACAGAGGCCCACCATGTTCGAGGGTTTAATCTAACCAGTGGTGTTGGGGTCCCCTTGGCTCTTTAGCTCCTTATTAAGTAGGGATTATCATCCCTGGCATCCCTGGCTCCTTAGCTCCTCCAGTATCAATGGTTAGGAATGGCCTTTTGGATTTGGGAAAGAGCAGGAGAATCAGGGGGCGAAGTGTGGAGTTTGGGGCTTAAGACAGCAGTCGAAATTTTGATGCTATGGTCCGTCTGGGATGCTTGTTTTGTAAGGCCAGTTTGTGACCTGAGCGGGGCTATACACAGGGCTGAGATTGGCAACGCAGGTGTTACATGTAATTAGAGGGCTCCTTAGTTTAAATATACCACATTGTACCACAAAGTCGAACTGCAAGGCCCTTAAACCCTAAACCTCGCCTTACCTTAATCCCGAAGAACCTACATTTTCAAAGATTTCTACAAAGAAATCATAAGAAGGAACCCTAAAAAGGTAGGTTATTCAGGGTTAAGGTCGAGCTTAGGGCATGGGCGCTGGGTTGGGCGTTTCATGCTCAGGACTTATCAGTTCGTGCGAAGCAGGTGCCCAGAGACTCCAAAACCCCTCAAACAAGGAGGAATGTAGGGTTTATTCGAAATCACAAACATGTGGGTGGTTGTCAAAATTAGGGTCCCTATCTGGGTCCCTATTATAGTACGGCACCTAATACTTAGGGTACTCAAAAAGGGACCATACTTTTGACAACTACCCATGTGTAGGATCTCTCTATAATTTCGGGTTTGCTGTTGAATCAAAGGGCTTGGAAGTCTCTTGGTTCATGCGTAGAGGGTAGGGTTTTGAGGTTTTGGGGTTTCGCGCTCATATGCCGCAACCAAGCACATCCGAGAGGCTCCACACATACTACCATTATGGAATCAGGTCCTGAAGGACCATCCTCGTTTTGGTTTTAAGGACCCATTTTCCTGATGGTAGGGTTTGTGGAGCATCTGGGCATGTTTGAGCTTGCACGTCAGCTAGAACAGGTACTAATGTTTGCACCCTTTGTTTGACTAGGTCCGTTGTTTATACATTCCTGAACCCTGAGCCCTCAATGATACTTCACCCAAGTACCGGACAGGGCGAGGGCAGCGCGCCCGCTGCGGGCAGCGATGTGCCCGCGACCGTCGAAGAGGCTGCTACTCCCGGAACCTAGACCCCACTTAAATGCAACTATAAATATCATTCGGTATAGCAATATATTAGTAATAATAGTAATAACAGTGATAATAGTAATAATAGTAATACTAGTAATAATAGTAATAATGGCAAGAATAAGGGTAGTAGTACTAGCAACAATAATAGCAAAAAAACTCATCGCAACACTCATAATAATGAGGTATGTCACCGGTTAAGGTACTTGTAAGTGTACTTATATACTAAAGTAAAAGCCAGAAAGTTGGAACATGATTATCCTAATCCCTCTGTGGTAAATTATAGGGTATCCTACCCTGAAACCATATTCCAACTTTCTGGAGTTCCCTTTAAGTCCTATGAACCTCCAAGTAGCGGATTTCCGGAGACCTTCCTCGCGCGAGCTTTACGTGCACATGGTCCTTTGGGCCCCAAGGTTCGGGTCGAATACTGAAGCTCCAAACCCTCTTTTTAGGGTTTAGGGTTTAGGGAACTGGGTCTTTCAAGGGATCTATAAGAGTTCGGGTTTCGGGTTTAGGGGTTGAGGGGTTTAGGGGTTTACTTGGAGGGTCGGGGGACGTAGAAAGTAGGTAGTAAGTAGACTCATAAGTACCCTAAAAGGGGCCCTAATTGGGGTTATGGTACTTATAAGTCCCTAAAATAACCAGTTACCAAGTCCCCCGACCCTCCAAGTAAACCCTAAACTGAAATCTCCAAGCCAGTGTTAGTGGAACCCTTTAACTTACTACGTCCCATGACCCTCCAAGTATGAAGAGTGAACTGTAAGTGTCGTTCTTGCGGTAAGCTTTTTTCCTATGATCAGGAGTAAGAGAAGAAGGCAACTACAAGAGCCCTAAACTCGAAACCCTATACGAGCAAAAAGGAGCTGCTCCACAAGAGCCCTAAACTCGAAACCCTATTCAAGCAAAAAGGAGCTACTTAAAGCTGTAGGCACCCCCGGAACACGGGATATCCAAGACATGCTAGAAGCACCCTTCAACAGACAGAAGGTTTTATTAGGGTTGAGGGCACTGTGTACAGAGCCCCTGGTTGATAAATCCAACCCGTGCATAGGGAATAGTGGGGATCCTAGTACGGCTCTGTGGACCCTTTTTCCATTGGAGACTCCCAAAACCCCAAACACCAGACCCTAGATCCTAACCAGTGGCTGAAGAGTAGCAAACACTGTACCAAATAATAAGGTAACTATACTTACAAGTAGTTGTAACTCCAGATGGCTACGGATAAAATCGTATTTCCTAAGTCCCATGATACTCCAAGTAGGCTCTAAACCCCCCAAAACCCTGTAGATCCCTTGTAGGACCCTTTAAAAGCAGGCCTTTAAGGAACCCTAAGTCCCATGATCCTCCGAGATGGGCCTAAACCCTAAACCCTAACCACAAACCCTAAGTCAAGGATCTCTGTAAGGATCCTTTCAAGGAGCTCTTTAAGGAACCCTTAAAGGAACCCCTTTCCATTTCAGGGTATTCGAAGCTTCGAGCCATCCGGGCTGAGGGTTGAGGGTTTGGGGATTCTTGCGGGTTTCCTCTAAAACGGATTTATAGGGGTGCTTTAGGCTTCTTTTGATCTACAAAGACTTCAGGGTTCAGGGCTTTAGGGTTTAGGGCTTTAGGGTTCAGGGCTTTAGGGCTTTAGGGTTCAGGGCTGTAGGGTTTAGGGCTTTAGGGTTCAGGGCTTTAGGGCTTTAGGGTTTAGGGCTTTAGGGTTCAGGGCTTCAGGGTTTAGGGCTGGAGGCTGCGGCAAACCGCGAAAAGTGATGACAGCTTGTGCCCAGAGGTGGGCCACTGGCTGTGGATCCAATGCAGCGTTGCCAGGGTTGCTACTTGGAGGGTCGGGGGACTTAGTAAGTAGGTAGTAAGTAGACTTATAAGTACCCTCAAAGGGACCCTAATTGGGGTTATGGTACTCATAAGTCCCGAAAATCACCAGTTACTAAGTCCCCCGACCCTCCAAGTACGAGGACGACCACGAGGATGCAGCTGCCACCGCTGAGGTGGCCGAGGATGGCGTGGACCCTGAGAGTGAGAGGAGCTGACTGAAGCTGAGGAGGGTTTAGGGTTTAGGGTTTACGGTTTAGGGTTTAGGGTTTTTGATGGCCAGTTCCGAAAACGAGGCAGGCCGCGCCTCCGATCACGCCTCGGACTTCGACGGGATCGACTAGAAGCTGCACCCACCCTGTAATAGTGACTATAAGGATTATATAGGATGAAAGTAGGGCCCTATTATATTCCTATTTTTCCACTATTACAGGGTGGGGGCAGCTTCTAAGGGATTGACCTCATCACCCGGTTGTGGACGCGCCCGCAGCCGGTCCCGGCATCGAGATCGAGATCCTCGCGATGTGGTTTCGGCTTTTCGGGCTGTACTTGGAGGATCATGGGACTTAGTAACTAGGGTTATAAATACGGTAACTATACTATTAACTCCAATTAGGGTACTTATAACCTTACTTACTAAGTCCCATGATCCTCCAAGTAGGGTTTAGGCTTCGGGGTGTAGGCATCGATTTAGGGTTCCATTACAATGCGTTTCCGATGTTTCAGCTCTGGATACTAATCCGAAACCCTCAACCGTAAATTTGGGGTTTGTTCAGGCTTCATGGCTTCGGGTTAGGGATCGGGTGATCCTAAAACCCTAAAGCCCTAAAGCCCTTCTAGATCCCTTTCCTTTTTGACCCCTTCAACGATAACCCCCAACACCAGGGGACTAAGTAAGTAAGGCTAGGGTTACAGCAAGTTATACATATAGGTACCCTCACAATAACCGTTCAATGACCCGTGTTACCAAAGCCCCATGATCCGTTAAGCATCAATCCTGAACTCTCAGCACACGGCAGGACCGGAAGCACTTGGTGGAGGTGCGAAGCTGCGGCAGTGCTTCTTTTCATATAGGGTTTTAGCAACTATCAATCGAGTTCCTCGGGGCTGGCTTGTATATTTGGTTTTTTCTACAAAAGCCTCCCAAAACCCTAGTATATTGATGCATGCCCATACGGCACTCCCAAAACTCTAACCAGCAAAGCCATCATACAATCGCCTAGAGATGTTTGGCGTCCTGCAAAAACAGCCTAGGATCTAGAGTAGGCCCTTATTCTCTCTGTTTTTTGGGGTTCAGGTTCCGTTACAAGCGACTTTAAACCAAAAAGGGCACCCTTTTTGTTCCTAGGTTATTCTTGGGTCTAGCTGCCCTCGACGCTGCATGACCATCCTAAGCCCTGAGCCCTATAAACCTCACACCCGAAGACATGAATCCTTAAACCTGGTAAGCAACTGCGACTTAGGGGTACTTAGAAATAGTTTTTAATTTTTTGGTTATTATAATCCCTAAGAAGCAGCTAAAATGATAACTTCAGTATAGGCAAAGGATAGGTTCGCATCAGCATCGGATGAAGGATTTTGGGGGAGCCAGGGTTCATCTAGGTTGGATTTTGGGACATTTTCTATTTCCCTTCTTTGGGTGTATAAGGGACTCTCTCTATATATATATATATATATACACACACACACATTTTTCAGGGTGTTTAAAGGCCAACCCAGTCATGCTTCAATGCATCGTTTTGGTTTTGCGGTTTAGGGTTTTTGAATGGTGGGGGTTTTGGGTTCTTGGGATTTAGGCTTTGTGCAGAGGACTAGGGCTTTGGGATGTTGGAGTGTAGGGTTTTCCGGATTGCGGGTTCAGGGCTCAGCGTTTTTTCTTTTTTTTTTTTTTTTTTAATTTGCTTTTATTTTTTTGAATTAGGGCTTACTAAGGATTCAGGGTGTAGGGTGGTTAGGGCAATGTCTCGCAAAACGTCGTTAGCTCGCCAATACTGTTACAGCAATATTGCTGCTTCTCCTATCACAGTTACTCTCTATAACCATCATCATTAGGGCCCAAAAAATGCACATAAGCAAAAACTAGTATAGGGATGTCCCATATAAATTCCTTAGAATGAATCCGAAGAAGGTAGGGATATCCCTATAACATGCTTATGCTTATTTGCTTTTGGGGTTCCTAAATCATCGTTTGCGATGTTGTCATGGTGGTGATGTTACTCTGCCGAGCACGGAAGCTGACTCAGGCCGTCATTGTCCGCGTCATGAAGAGCCGTAAGACACTGGCCCTTCGACTGCATATCAGAGCATCAGGGGCAGGGGGAGGGTTTAGGGTTTGGGTTTAGGGTTCAACACTAGCCCTAGAGAGTTTAGGGCTTAGGGTTTCGAGTTTCGGTTCAGGGTAAACCGTACACCCTAAGGAGAGCAGGTCGATTTCTACCATGAAGAAGAGCAATGCCGGCCAGTAGGGGCTCATATGGGGGCCTAAATAAATACCAATACTATTTTGGTGTTCCTCAATCAAGATATGGTATGAGAAACCCCAGAACCCTCTTCTGCTTATCAAGGCCCCTATAGTGTGCGTGCGTGTGTGTGTGTGTGCATACAGACGGATCTCTGCATATGCTCATGCAAAAAGCGCTTTGCGCTCGAATTACGCAAAGCATATAAGTACGTTCAAATACAGGGGCACAGATGAACTTGCAGCTGTGCAACTTACCCGAAACCCTAAGCCCCTAAACCCTAAACCCTAGACCCAAAGCCATCGACCCAGGACCCTGCATCCCCGAAACCCGAAGCCCAGAACCCTAAACCTTTTGCAACAAATCCAGGAGCACAACCAGCTTGTCATGGAGGCACGCCGCCGAGCTGTGAATCCTCGCAAGCTGGGAGAAGAAATTAAGGATTTGGGGGTGTTTAGGGTTTATATAGGGGTTTAGGGGTTTAGGCTGGGGGTTAGGGTTAAGGGTTGAGGTTTGTTGGCAGTGCTCTAAGTTTCGTGCATAAAGCAATATCTCGACTTACTTATAACCGACTTAGGTTGCCCAGAGCCTTCAAAACCCATTAATTGAGGAACATACCTTAAATCATAATCGGATCCCTAGATTATTTGTGGGATAATTTTTGGGGGTAGAATTCCTTACAGATCCCTTTAAAGATCCCTTTGAGGAGCCCTAAGAGGAGCCCTAAGAGGAGCCCTAAGAGGCTCCTTATAGGGTATGTTTTGGGTACGGCCCCCCCACTCAGTAATAGTTGAATAGTATTCATAAGACCGATATATAAGGACCTTAAGAGTAGCCCTATTATAGACTCTTACTGTAAGGGGCAGTACCTAAGGTATATTGCGTTATTCAGGGGTTTTGGAGTCTGTGGATTGTGTTGACTTGTCAGCCTAGCGGGCTGCTTGAGACTGTTTTCTGATCATACTTGGAGGATCATGGGACTTAGTAAGTGAGGTTATAAGTACCCTAAGTGGAGTCTTAAGTATAGTTACCTTATTTATAGTTATAACCCTAGTTACTAAGTCCCATGATCCTCCAAGTACGGGTTCAGAAACAGGGTTTAGGGTGTAGGGTTTAGGGAATTCAACAGCCCTTATCCTAGAGTCTAAACCGAGAACCAGGAAAACCCTGAACCCGAAACCCTAAGCTCAGCCAGGTGACGCGACACCTCACCTCGCGCTTCCAGCCTGCACCGACGCTCATCAAGCAGCGGATCGAGAAACTCATCGAGCGAGAGCGCCTTGGATTGCCAAGAGAGAACTTGGAGGGTCGGGGGACTTAGTAAGTAGGCAGTAAGTAGACTCATACGTACCCTAAAAGGGACCCTAACTGGGGTTATGGTACTTATAAGTCCCTAAAATAACCAGTTACTAAGTCCCCCTAAACCCTAAACCCTATACCCTTACAGAATCCCGATAGATCCCTTTAAAGGACCCCTTTAAAGGAACCCCCTAATAGAGTTACTAAGTCCCCCGACTCCAAGAAGCCGTAAAGGAGCCCCTAACGGTGGGGTTTTAGTTGAACGGCTTAGGTTTTAGGGAGCACACTCATATAACAAGTTTGGAGCAGAATCTGCAAGAGATATGGTCTGAGAAGTTAAAACCAAAATAGTTAAGTGGGTCTTGTACTGTCTACCATGGTTTCTACTGTATATATCTACTTCTGCTCAGCCATGGGAAGCCCTAAACCCTGCTGTGTAAACGCGGCTGGTATAATGCTTAGGGATACTATGACTGTGGTGAAAGGCTCTATCATTTTTGTTTTCTGTTTGGCTTTTTAGATGAGGGTTGTGCATCGGTTTTCGCAAGGGCGTATGTGGCCTGTACCAAGCTTCGATGAACACAATATATAACGCTGTTTATAAGATCCTAAATCCAAAGGCTGAAAAAGACCAATAATAAACTCGTAAGCGACCTGACCCTAAACCCTAAACATACCTCCCTAAACCTTGAAACCCTAAACCCAAAGCCCCACATCCTAAGAAGACCCTCACCGTTAGAAGAAGCAACACAGCGCCACCTGCAGTGTGATCAGCGTGCTTTGAATCAAGGTTGCTATGGCCACACTACCTGGGGTACCGGAGGAGGCCCGAGCAAAGTGTGGCTTCAGAATGGATGGAGCAACAAGAAGAAGAAGAGTGGCCGCCACCACCGCCACCACCGTTTGCGTCCTCTACAAGGATGCCCGATCCTCCAGGAGCTCAGCAGCATCAGCAGCAGGGTGCTGGCCAGCAGCCCACCACATTGCCACATCACCATGACGGCGTGACCGCTGTGGTGTTATGGGGTGGCCCTCGGACCATTATGTGGTGGATGAGACACATGGTCATCAGTGGAGACAGTATCGTCGCTCTTCAAGTGGCCCCCAAGCCCTAAACCGTGAACCACAAACTCTATTGGTGTCCTCATGGGGGTCTAAGCCCTAAAACCCTAAACCCTTAAATCCTAAAGCCCGAAACCCCGAGAGCCTTTGACAAGAGACTTTCTGAAGGCTTTGTCAGACTTCATAGGGTTGATGATATAACTCCTGCATTGCCCATAATACAGGAACATACCATTCTTACTTGGAGGGTCGGGGGACTTAGTAAGTAGGTAGTAAGTAGACTTATACGTACCCTAAAAGGGACCCTAATTGGGGTTATGGTACTTATAAGTCCCTAAAATAACCAGCTACTAAGTCCCCCGACCCTCCAAGTAAGGTAATGCAGGATTTATTTCACCAACCGTATCCATGGCTTCAGGGCAAGGTTCGGGCTTTGAAGCTTCTTCGCGGTACTTGGAGGATCATGGGACTTAGGGTTCCTTAAAGGGTTCCTTAAGGGGCTCCCTTTAAAGGGTTCTGTAGGGGTCTGTAGGGATTCAGGGTTTAGGGTCTACTTGGAGGATCATGGGACTTAGTAACTAGGGTTGTAAATAAAGTAATTATACTTAAAACTCCAATTAGGGTACTTAGAACCTTACTTGCTAAGTCCCATGATCCTCCAAGTATCTTTCAACTTAGTTAAAGTTGAAGCGGTTTTGGGGTTTTGGAGCTCAGCATCGTGGTCTGAATGACTAGTCCTACTATACCCATCTAGCGTCTTCTCACTCTAAGAACTAAGGCACTCAGGCCCTTATATTGAAAGCTGAGACCTCCAAAACATAGAGCCCCTATAGCCTATGATCCATTCCCTCATTTTCTACTGATGGCCTCTCTGGTTCAAGCTATCATGCAAACCCCAAACCCGAACCCCAAGCCCTAAACTTCAAATCCTATAGCCCCAAACACCTAAACTAAAAACCTTTCTGTCTCGAGGCATCAACCCCAAAACCCCTTTGTTTCGAGGTCTAAACGCGAAGAGGACCCCAAACCCTGGACCCTGAACTAAAAAATGAACCCTAAAGAGTAAACCCTATACCCCGTGTTTAGTTTGGGGTTCGGGGTATAGGTTTTTTTCATAAAAAAAACCTATACCCCGAACCCCAAACTAAACCCTGAACCCCGAATCCGCCTCTGTTTCCAGGCGTCCCTACACCTCGGTCTTGCGAGGTATCTGGAACATGGACCCCTACGGTTGATGATATAAATCCTGCATTACCTTAAAGTCCCTAAACTCTGGGAATTGTGGTAGATTCCTCATTATGGGTCATGCAGGATGTATATCATCAACAGCATGATGGTCCATTATAGTAGTCCCCATATCCCTACATATTCTTTGTTTCGAGGTATCTAGAGAGATCCAATGCCGACCGGCAGCTCGGCTGAAGCTTTTATGGTTTTCGGAAGACGAAGGCGGCGTTCCTAGAAGTCTATAATACAGCTTCAGGGTTTTGGGTTTAGGTCTCTATACCATCTCTATACCTATAATCCTCGTTGTAGTTGATTTCTTTGAATACCTTGGAAGAATAAGAAATGGTTTCAAAAGCACAGCTGGGGTTCTTTACGCTTTACAGAGGTTATGGGTTTGATAGCAGGGTTTAGGGGTTTTGAGTTCATGGCCCCAATTCTATGGTTTAGGATTAAAAGCTGTGATTGTTATCCTTGTCACTGTCTTACCATTGTTATTCCTACTATTGCATTTATTTCGAGCCTCTCCTTTAAAGCCCGGGGCTTGGGTCGTAACTTTCTTTGAGTTTAGGGCCGGTGTAGGAGCTTAGTTTGCGGTCTGGGAGGGTTTGGGATTCTGGGAGGGTTCTTGAGTCACGTAGGTTCTGTGAAAAGAGATCACACCTAGTCTTCAACTTTACAACAACCACCCCACAACCATAAATCCCAAACCCCAGAACACTCCTCCTTTTCCATAAAGCCGAAACCCTAAACAATAAGCCCGGCAATTCGACAAAACAGCTGACCCTGCATTTTCAATCAGGGGTTGTGCAAAGATCCCAGTGTTGCAGGATCGAATGTCCGAACCAGTCTAAGGCGTGGCTCCACGTGCCTTGTTGTGGTCGGTTTTTCCCTGCGTAAGTTATACCCCACACCTTAGAGGTCATATGAGCTCATATTGGTAGTTCTCTAAATTAGGGTCCCTTAGGGTCCTGTTACAGGGTTGCCGTCTCCTTGGGTTCCTAACAAAGGACCCTGTTCTAGGGAACCTTCCATTTACGGGTAGGATGTAGGGTTCGCATCCGCGACCTGGAGGCCATCACGCAGGAACCCGCAAGGCATGCAACTAGGGACCCAAAAAGGACATACTCATAACCGTTTTTTCGTGATGTCCCTACCTTGTTGGGCTTCATTAGCTGGGGGGTTGTATGAGATATCCCTATCCTAATTTTTGCTCCTGTGCTTTTTTGGGGCCCTATGCAAATCGCAAGCTGCTCTTACGAGGTGTATTATATCTCGACAAAGACAGCTTTTGTGGTAATTCCTGATTAGGGTTTAGGTTTTGGGGGTTTAGGGTTTCGGGCGTAGCATTTAGGGTTTAGTTGCCGTCCCGCAACACCAAGCCCCAATCTCGAAACCCAAACCCTAAAGACCAAAACTGAACCCTCTCGGCCCCAAACTCAAATCCCGAAGCTTCGACCCGTACAGTAGAAGCCAAAAAGTTGGAAACCCAACAGCCTCAATCCTTAAGAGTAATGTATAGGTAATCCCAGCACTGTTGGGCCTTAACCTGGTTTCCAACTTTATGGGGTTACTGTAGGTCGAAATCCAAATTAACCCAGGCGGGTCTACAACTACCTGGCGTGAAACCGCGAAGGCCGTGAAGGGAAGCTTTGCGGATCAGAGTTTGGTTCCGGGTTTGGGGTCTCCTGACCCCCAAAATCCTCTCCTACCCCGAGAGCCCAATACCCCTGAATTAAGGAATATATACCCTAAATCATCATATGAATCCCTTATTATTTAAGCTATATTCCTTAATTAAGGGGTCTCAGAATTCCCTAAACCCTAAAGATCCCTTTAAAGGAACCCTAGGTATCTTCCTTAACTAAGGGGATTAAGGGCTCTCTGGGTAGGTGGAGATCCCCAGCCACCCCAAGACCACGCCTGAAGTTGAGGGTCTGCGGTTTGGGTCCAGGCTTCAGGGTAGGGTTTAGGGTTTAGGGTTTAGGGTTGAGGGTTTAGGGTTTAGGGTTTAGGCTTCAGGGTTTAGGGTTGAGGGTTTACAGTTTGGGTCCAGGCTTCAGGGTTTAGGATTTAAAGCTTAGGCTCTTATTGTTACCCCTCTTGCTGCCTCCCATTCTTTTGTTTCCGCCTCTAAGAAATTCTATGACTGCTTTGCGAAGGTTACAACAATTACTGTGTAACTCTCAACCACGCCCTGTTCTAACTGTTGAAGCCACTGTATTGAACCCTGTGCCTCCCAGCACCTGTGAGGACCAGGCATCGGCGTTAGCAGGCTTGCCTTGCGCCTGTTGAGCAGTAGGTGCGGGCAAGATTGTTTCATGCTTGGTACATGGAAGGGGTTTCTTGTAGCCCTCAAAGGTGTCCAAACACCTAAACGTCAAATCGAAGCCTTTCCCTCTAACCCTTAACCTACCGCTCAATACCCAAACTGGAAACCAGGTTTGACACAGTTCCCGAAGAAAAACACTACCCCAATCCTCCGAAAGAAGGCCCTACTCTAAGACTCTAAGGTCTAGGCTTCTGCATTCTATACCCTCAAGGCTGGATAGTACGAGGACCTGGGTTCGTTATAAGAGCCTTTTTTTGATGTTCATCGGTGAAGGGTTTAGAGATTGAGAGCTTAATTAGTGTTTAGGGTTTAGGGTATCGGGTTTAGCGGTTTAGAGCATAGGGTTCACGGACGGCTCAGCTAAGAAAACAATAGGCCAGCAGTGACCTGGGATAGCAGAAAAAGACCTTCCCACCCACCCTAATCCGTAAACCCTAAACCCAACCGTACATGAAGTAGGGCTTATATTACCATTTTGGTGAGTGTAGATAGGGCTCTTTTTGAATTTTGGTGAGTGTATGTATTGGGTTTATTATGGGGATACTAGTAATATAAACCATACTCTACATGGTTCCACACCCATGAGGGCTGACAGGGCCCCATCCTGTGCAAATTGGACAGTGTGGCTTGCTGCAGCCTCCAAGTTGATGGTCAAAGCACAAAACATCCCTACTTGGAAGGGCATGGGACTTAGTAAGTAGGTTATAAGTAGAGTTATAAGTACCCTAAATAGAGTTACCCCAATTATAACCCTACTTATAACCTACTTACTAAGTCCCCTGCCCTTCCAAGTAGACCCCCAAACCCTAAGCATCAGCATCAGTCAAAGGGGAAAAGGAAGGAACCTTAATGGGGCCCCTACCCTATAATGGGCTATATAATGGGTATATAACAGCTATATTAAGGGTATGTACCTAGGGGTCCTTATTAAGGGTCCCTCCTTGTACCCTTGGAATCATCATCAGCATTCACGACCATCCTACAGGCATGCGGTGGAGATGAGTAGGGTTTGATTAGCTTTGTCATTGTCGGCGCTGCATTACGCCTGTACGCCTTACTTGAAGTCTCCAAGCGTGTTTCTTTCCTGCTGCCCATAAACAAAAGTGTACATGCGTTTAAGATGGTAGCGCCATGTTCGGATTCGGAAGGTGTGCTGGGAATCATTATGTAGGGGCCTTAATAATTACCTGTACTATTTTGGGGGGGCTCCTTGTTACAACTATGGTATCATGGGCCCCAAAACACTATTCTAATTATGAAGGCCCCTATCCTAAGCGCTCTATTGTGTGGTGCTTAGGCTTAGTAGGGAATGGGGGAAGGGATTCCTCAGGCAGTTTAATTGAGAGGACAGAAGGAACGGTGCAGCAGCCACTGGGTCCCCGAATAGGGCTCCTGATTAGGTGGATGATGTCTCACCCAGACGAGCTTACCCCAGCGCTTGGTGGGGCAGGAACTCGTGTCAGATGGAACAAAGCTGGCCTTGATGTCTCAAAACCCTAAACCCCCAAACCCGTAAACCCTAAGCCCTAAGCCCTAAACCCTAAACCCCTAAACCCTAAGCCCCTAACCCCTAAACCCTAAACCCTAGACCCTAAACCGTTGGTCTTGGTGTCTCAAAGCCCAAGCATCTCATCCACTCCCCATAGCCACTCATGCTCAAGCCATATGAAGTAGGGCTTATATTACCGTTTTGGTGAGTGTAGATAGGGCTCCTTTTGAATTTTGGTGAGTGTATGTATTGGGTTCGATTATGGGGATACTAGTAATATAAACCATACTCTATATCGCACGAACACCCTGAGCTCCAGCCCAAAAGCCCGTAAGCGCTAAAGGGCAAACTCCGAGATCCTCCAAACTCTGAATCCTAAACCCGAAATCGCTTAAATCCCTAGACCCCACCAGGTCACCACCCCTGAGGCTTTTCTAGGATGCCCAGCAGTACCCTTATTCCCTTTTTGTAGTCCTAGGTTCCTTCTAAAGTTACCCAATACCAAAAAGAGAGGCCTTTTTATTCTTAGGTTACTGGGTATCCTAGTTTTGTCTTCGAGCAACAAACAAACAATCGAAGCCAAGAATTTCGAGGGCCTCGGATTTAGAGTTTACGAGGAATTTCGAGGGGTATAGGGTTTAGGGCTTTAAGGGTTTTAGGCTGGGGGTTTCTATAGGGTTTAGGGGTTAGAGATGAGGGTTGCTAGGAGTCAGGGTTTAGGGTGTGCTTGGAAGGGCAGGGGACTTAGTAAGTAGGTTATAAGTAGGGTTATAATTGGGGTAACTCTATTTAGGGTCTTACTTACCAAGTCCCCTGCCCTTCCAAGCATGGTTCCCCCAAAAGAACAAACAGACCGGCTAGTAGACCTTCTTAATTCCTCGTAAGGGATATAGGTATAGGGCTCTGTCTATTACTTCTAAAAGGACAAGGGTGTTACGAGGTCCCGGCCGCAGTACTTTATTTGTCCTTTCTATTTTGGGGTTTCCTTGTGAAGACCGAATACTACACATAGGAACAAGGATATCCTTATTATTACTTGGCTACTTGGCTAGTGGGGATCGTAGTTCACGGTTTTAGGGGTTAGAATTGAGGGTTTCGAGGGGTATAGGGTTTAGGGCTTTAGGGGTTTTTAGCTGGGGGTTTCTATAGGGTTTAGGGGTTAGAGTTGAGGGTTGCTAGGAGTCAGGGTTTAGGGTGTACTTGGAAGGGCAGGGGACTTAGTAAGTAGGTTATAAGTAGGGTTATAATTCGGGTAACTCTATTTCGGGTACTTATAACTCTACTTATAACCTACCTACTAAGTCCCCTGCCGTTCCAAGTAGGGGTTAGGGGTTTAGTAGGGCTTTGAGGCAACACTTAAGAAAAGGTTTAAGAATGGTATAGCCTGTTCTGAGGAGTACATGCAAACGAGGCCTTTGAACGCTTTTCCTGTAGACAACATACAAGGCTCGGAGGCCTCAACTCGGACCTAGAGTAGGCCCTTATTCCCTTTTTTGGGGGTTCAGGTTCCCTTCTAAGCCCCTTTAAACCAAAAAGGGCACCCTTTTTATTCCTAGGCTACTCTTGGGTCTAGTCAAATGGTGGGATGGAGGTAGGTAGGATGAAGGATCCCTTTCATAAGGACTATTCGAGTTGGAATATCCCACCTACCTTCATCCCACCTTTGGAGCCCTTTTAGGGTTTAGGGTTTAGGGTTTAGGGGTATCTAGGTCTTAGGATTTTGAGCGGCATTTTCAGTATTTGGGATGTTGGAAGTCCCGAACAAACCCTGCGGTTCAGTTATGGAGGGAAAGGGGTGCTAGGGTTTAGGACTTGAGGCTTAGGGTTTAGGGTTAAGGGCATTTGGTTTAGGGTCTGGGGTTTTGGGCTTGGGGTTTAGGGTTAGGAGTGCTACGCTTTAGACCAAAGACTACGCCCCAACTTAAACACCTTGTTTCAAAAGACCCTATAGGCTTTGGAGCCCTGCATCTAGCTTGAAATCTGAATGCACCAACTAACCTTTGATATTGGAGGAGCTAAGGAGCCAGGGATGGTGGTGATCCTTACTTAATAAGGAGCTAAAGAGCCAAGGGAACCCCAACACCACTGGTTAGCCAAGGTCAGCGTTTAACAGCGGGGTGGCACTTGCGTAGTGTTGTCGTAGTCGGCATGCGCTTTGGTGCAGAGGCCGCCTGGAGAATGGCCCTACTCAGCCGACCATTGTACTTAGCAGAAAGGGCCTTAGAGCCGGGCTAAGAGGTTCATGGGAGAAGAAAGTTTCTGGCTTTGAGGGGTGCATGGCGGGGCTTTAGGGTTTAGGGTTTAGGGGTTTAGGGGTTCAGGGTTTAGGGTTCAGGGTTTAGGGTTTGGGGTTTAGGGGTTTAGGGTCTAGGGCTTGAGCCCCAGACCCAACCAAGCATTTTGCAGGGGTCTCATCGGCGGCCTTTCCACTTTTGCATGCCATCCAGGGTCTTATGCGCAGGGTTGGCCGGTGGGCAACGGAGCAAGCAAAAGGTTATCTGAGATGCCCTAAACCCCAAACCCTAAACCCTAAACCCCTAACCCTTAAACCCCTAAACCCCTAAACCCTAAACCCTAAACCCCTAAACCCTAAACCCCTAAGCCCTAAACCGCCTATCTGAGATGCGTCGGAAAATACGAGCCTGTCTTGCGAACAAGAGGGGTTGCCTGTCTTTTGGTGCTTATGCTAACGTTGGCTGTATCTCATCTTGTCTACTAGGTTCCTGAGTAGTACCCTTTGGCCGTTTTTCAGCGGGGTCCACTCGCCTAATTATAAAGGGGCTGCTCAGGAACCTAGTTGCCTAT